CTAATTAATAAATATTATTCTATAAATAAATAATTATAAAACAATTTATTATTTTATAATTAATAATTATTATTTATTTCTATATTTATTTATTTATCTTTTTAGTATTTAGCTAGATATTAAAGTATTTATTTACTACTCTATTATACTCAGAAGCATAGATCACGTGACGGTCCCTCAAGCTTCCGAGATATAATATATAACTATATTTACTTTTATATATACTTTAACTAAACATATTTGCTTCTTAGTCATTTCAACATATAGCCTATCAGCCTATCTCTAATAGTTAATTAGGACAGGCGTTCCCTAGTTATACATGTCAATATAAATAAGTGAGAAAGACGGCAAACTAGGAGCATCAAAAGATATATGCCTCTGGATGGCTCGAGAAATACTGCAATTTCTCACAATATATATCCATCACTTCTTCTGCCACCACTTTGTGGACGTTCCAACTCGTGAACAAGGTAACCTCAAGCTGATCCCCTTCGGATCTCACAAAGCAAGTGTTTTCATCCTGATTTTCACCCCGCCATTCCATTGAGAGACCGCATTGTATTCCATCGAAGGACAGCCTGGACTCGATGTCATCTTTGACGTGATCCACGAGGGTCCCCGAGAAAGTGTCGCTGCATCCTGCCACCTCGCAGAGTTCCGCGGTCGTGAGAAGTTCATGTGGGAGGTTCCGCATATCCTGCTCTTGAAGAAAACGGCACAAATCAACCAGCCGCTAGTCAGACTGTAATTGGGCCCGCATGGGATACAATTGCATCAGGGGACCAGCAGCCTCCTCTGTCCGTCTGCCGCCGAGGCGCCGCCCGTTGGAGATATGATAGAAGCCGACGTCCCTCTTCCCTGAAAGACTGGCTAGTGTGACAGCCCAAACGGCCTTGACCTTGATGAAGGAGTCAAGAACGACTTCAGCCGGTGGAGAGATGTGGGTGAGGCACCGAGAGATCCTAAGTGGGTCTCCCATACGCTCCGGGGTTGAGTCTTCGGACATAGTTGGTAGACTTTGCATTTCCAGGCCGTGGAGCATGTCTTCCCAGTACTGTCTAGCTGCCGCATAGGAGTCAATCCGTCGGCGGGAGCACAGAACATCCTGGTACTGCAGGCGAGTCGGCACGATGCCCCGTTCATAGGCCGATTGCCAGTCGGACCAGTACAATGCGAAGCATGATCCATCGAAAATAGTATGGTTCATCTTCAGGATGATAACGACTTTCCCGTTATTGGCAGACTCGAGTACAAACAGTTTGCCGAGGAACGAACCGGGGTGAAGCCCAGATGCATGATCAGTATCGATAATTTGATGCAGTTCAGAATCATGTCTGATCGTTCGATAATCAACGTTGAAGACATCGCCGGTTCGAACCACGGCCCAGTATTGATCATTACCAGCTGGGACTAGCACGGTGCGCAAAATGTCATGCTGGCGGACAACTTGCAACCAGCTTTCGACGATACGAGCACGATCCAGTCGTTCATCAACTTCGAAGTGAGCGTACACGGTATGGTTGATGCTATATACCAGCACCTGGTCATAAGTAGCCGGATATACATCCTTGATCTTCTCCCGGGGGATTGAGTGAGGCTCGCAAATATGGCGTTCGATGAATGTCTCAGTCTCCGAGTCATCTAGTAACGCAAACGCAGGCCACTCATTCTCCAGCGCATCGTCGTCATTATCTCTTTGAGAATCCCACCAGAGAGCCATATCGCATAGCTGTGGGCTGGCAAAGATTTGGGCGACATTGAGTGTCCGCCCTTCTTGACGCGCCATACTGACCAGCTTCATTGCTTCCACAGAGTCAGTGCCAGCTTGGAAAAAGTCGGTCTCTCGTTTAAGCGCATCTGGGCTGATCTTCAACAAGCTTGCCCAGGCTTTCTGGAGGGCCAATTCCGCAGTGGTAGATGGCTCTGTCGTGGAGGACTGCTCTTTGCCATACGCCATGATATCAACAAGTGACATACTGTTGGCCGCATGTTTCAATGTTTTCCAATCTATCTTGCCAGAGGATGTCGTTGAAACCCTCGCAAGGGGAAGATATACTGAGGGTATCATGTATGAAGGAAGTACTTGGCCCAAGTCCGCAGACAGTTGTGCTGCTTGGACGACCCGCTGAGTAGGAGGGAGCAATATAGATGAAGGAGACGTTGCTGTCATCACAGTCGTGGAAGCCTTCATTTGAGAGAGAGCTAGGAATGCCGTGACTCTCTCATTTTCACCATATTTGACCACCTCGACAACGATCGTACCACTGGGTAGTAGGTGCTGCAGGTTGAATTCTACTTCTCCCATCTCGATACGCTGGCCCCGTAGTTTCACCTGCATATCCCGCCGACCCATATACACCACTGAACCATCCGGATTATACATCCCCAGGTCTCCAGATCGGTAGAGCCTCCCACGACCATTTTCTCGGAAGCGGCCTAGCCATTTAGCGTCGTTTATGAAGCTGGCGGCCGTTCTCTCTGGGTCTTTCAGATAGCCACAACCGACCACCGGGCCTTCAATGAGGATTTCACCCACAATTCCAATGGGTGCCAAAAGGTTGTAGTCCGTTGGGTCCGTGAGCCAGACTACACAACCTCCAGCACGACCGACGATTGCAAGATCCCATTTTTGAGTGTCGATCGGGGTAGTGGAGCAGAAAGTGCATTCGCCGGGACCGTATCCATTCATCACCAAAGAAGAGCGGCTCCATGTTTCCACTACATCACTGGGAATAGCCTCGCCGACCAATACGACGGTCTTCAGTGATGGCACTTCGTCGGGACTCATTGACCAAATCGCAGTGGGCGAAATAATCACAACTTCAGCCTTTGCTTCGCGAGCGAATTCGCTAGGGGTATTCATGCGCTGGTAATCAGAGGGGACGCAAAGGCATCCACCCATCGCTAATGTCATCAGGATCTCATAGATGCTGGCATCGAAGGATGGAGAAGCATATTGCAGCACACGGACCCTGCGCACAATGTTCATGTTGGCTGCATGAGCGAGAGTCGCCGAGGACAAATTACGGTGCTGCCTTGTTCTGGCCCCCCGCTGAATGACCTCTGCAACAGCCTTCTTCCCACCAGGAAGAAAGCTTTGCATCTGGTGCTCTACTTCTTCAAGCTCGATCCGCTGGCCGTGAAGCTTGACCTGGGTATCTTTGCGTCCAACAAAAACCAAGTTGCCATCCTCTATGTATCGTACCAGGTCGCCGGTTTTGTACAATCGGGCATGACGACCCGCGAAGCCGGCAAAGGGGGAGCCTTCTATCAACCACTTCGGATCTTCAATGAACGATGCCACCGTCTTTTCAGGGTCTGCTACATAGGCTGAGCTCACGTTGGGGCCTTCAATGAGAAGCTCACCCACTTCTCCAACGGGGGTAAGATGATTGACATTGTCTGGATCTGTTACCCATGTTACGCAACCATAGCCTCGGCCGATGGGGACAATCCCGGTCTCAAGACAGCGGTGGACATCAACCACATAACCTGTGCTGAAGACAGCACACTCCGCAGGTCCATATGCATTGATTAGGCGGATATAAGGTGACAAGCGTTCAATCACTGCCCGGGACATGGACTCTCCCGCCAACACTAAGGTCTGCAAAGTTGGCACCTGATCTGGTTCAATCAACTGGGAGCTGGTGGGAGTCATCTCCGCGATTGTAACCTGCATCTCATTCATGGCCGCGGAGAGACGCTGCATGCGATCGGTGTCCGATGGAATGCATAGGCATCCTCCCTGTGTCAAAGTGATGAGGATTTCGTGTACAGATGCATCAAAGCTGTAGGAGGTAAAATGGAGAAATCGCGAGACCTGGCTCAGTTGATACAATTCACTCTGTTGTTGCAACCCAGAGACAAAATTGGAATGGGAAACCTCTACGCCCTTGGGATTTCCCGTGCTTCCCGATGTAAAGACGACGTATAATGTGGAAGAAGGGTCGGCGGGCCATAAAGAAGAGGCCGTCCCAGGAGTTGCGATAAAGGAGGGCTCGCTTCTGGGCTTGCAGATCGTCATCACACTCGAGGACAGCCTCTGAGCCAACGTGGCCAGACTCTGGGACGTCGCAGTGACTCGTGCACATTTTCTTTCAGCTATTTGTCGCAGTCAGGATTCTGGTGATGCGGTGTCAAGAAGAACAAAGGCAGCGCCGATTTGGATAATTGCTAGCACAGCCACGGGAATCAAAAGACCTCGTTCCAACGCAACCAGTACCTTTTCGCCCGGTACCACTTGATAAGAATCTATGAGCTGCCGTGCAAAATGGGCAGCCTCAGAGGCCAATTGTTGATATGACAATACGCCGTCCCAGGCTTTTATAGCAATAGCATCCGGGGTCAAGTCGACTCTGGTTTGAACCAGCTCATGAACACAGGCATTGAGAGTAGGAGGGGCAGTCGCGTTCCATTTCCAAACAGAATCAATGGTATTTGTTTGATGTATGGAAGATCCCGGACCTGCAGGAGTCGGAGGAGAGCTGCTGCGGGAGGAGCTCAAGCTACGGTCGAAAAGGTCATCAGAATCGGTACCTTGAGAACCCATGATGATATAGTTGAATGAATGAACCCCTGCCTAGAGGTGACTGAGGATATACGGCAGTTTTTCAACAAGTCATGAAGAATCAAGGAAGATATCAAAATGATTTGACTCCGTCCGAAACTGCGGTATAAATTCTCCATCCTATCCTGCCTCGCATTTTTGAGTGAATCCATTTGATATATCATACCCAGTACTCTGTACCCCATACGGGATACACTTGGGCTTTGAACCAGACGCAGGATACCCAATTTCAGACGTCGATCGGTTGCCTTCAGTGAATGTGGCTAGTTGAGAGATCACGCAAGATTGAGTCTCCTTCAACTTGAATCCGAGCGGGTATTTAAATGCGAACACAGGCAGACAGCGATGTGCCTGGCAGAAAGAATAGTTAGTTAATGGATCTCATGCTGCTTTCTACCAATGAAAGCTACGAGAGGCCGTCGTCAAGAGCCAAAATAGTAGTCCCAGGTGATCTCATGCTCTTTCAGAGTGTAGGTATAGGCTCCAATTGTCTTGATAGCGATACTCGGTGCATCCACTTTGCTCTTTTTCTAGTCCCACATATTTAATATAAGACACGAATTCCTATCGTTCCGCAGACGAATTAGACATCTAGTTACATAACTAGTCGGATGATCTAATCTAATCTTCCAAGTACTTTCCGAGGGCTTTGGCCGAGATATTTTGAATTCTCCAGCTATCATCGGTGAGAACATGATCCGTTATATAGCTGCGTGAGCTTTTGTTAGGACTCTATTTACGAATAGATTGGTAGGGGTAATAATACATACAATCCATATTCTGCCCCGTTGGGCACAGCTTTTTCACCATCACAGTCGTCAAAAATGGTCGCGATCAAAGGAGAGGTCGCATGGGCGACCGTCATGGATTTTTCGACCTCAACAACCGGAACTCCGATCGCATGCTGAAATGGATAGTTCGCGTAGGTATACAAATTTCGCACAAATGTATCCAGACTGTTCAGGTTTCGGAAGCCATCTTCGGGTAGGTCGATATAGACATTTGATGACGTGAATACCTTGTTCATCTCTTCGAAGCGATGCTCATCGACGAGCAGGAAAAACAAGCTGACCCCTTGGCCAACCTCGGATCGAATTGCGGCCACCTCAAGCTGGTAGAGAAGGGCTGGGGGTCCCGCCCGCAGGGGTTGTTGGTAGGGAGGGTAGGGAGGGTAGGGAGAAGCCCATGCCAGTGCTGCCAGTGCAGCGAGTACCAGGGACGATTGGACTGGAATGAACTTCATGGTATATTTGTCGGTTGCTCACAGACACAGCAGGCCTGGGAAATGTGTCTTATATCTGACCTGGTCTCAACTGGTAACTGAGTGAGGATAATCCCATTTTTGGCTGAGCTTCAAGTCTCATCTTTGCTAGCATCCGATTTGTCAAGATCGTCATCCAAGGGTTGGGCCTGTAACTGCGCCTTGAGAGACTGAAGATCGAGGCTCACGCGCAAGGCTCTGCGGAAGCTCAATTTTTATACGCATGATTCTGCACGCCTCGTTGCAAGTTAGAGAAAGCCACTTACTTAAAGAGCTCGGAGTACCTACAGCGATGCATGGGGACACCGCAACTTAGGCTAAATACTATAGATGAAATGTTGAAGAGTGGAGATTGACTGGGCCTTGATCCCGGGCACTTCGAAAAGCTGTCAAGGGTTTTCAGCATCATCCTCATCATTTGCCGCTGCTAAATAAGCAATGTTGCTTTTTGATTCAACAACAACTCAATGATCGGGGCGTATACTCCGTATGCATGCAGCTGATAGAGACTTGGTGGATATTGGATACTGTTGATCCTCAATATCCAGCTACGATCTCAGGAATAAGATACCTTCATTTCCCAAAATTAGGTAAATATCGAAAGAATAAGCCGCTGTGGGTCTCTTAGAAATAGACATCCGAGGAATGTATAAAGTGCACCTCAAAAAATATGGGCCATATCAATGGGAGGAGTTTGGCAAATTCCCAATTCTTTCTGCTTACTACCTGCTTTATACTCCGTTCGGTCCTTTGAGATTGCTGAAAGACTCGAGGTCGTGGAAGGTTTCCTCTCTTTGCACATTCAATTTGGGATCACGAAAGCCGACCTCCTTTTCAGTATATTGTTCTATACTGGGTCTCCAGGTTGATATCCGGTTGGGACTTTAATTGCAAAAGGGCTGAGGAGGGAGAATAGCGAACACTGTCTGCCACAATGCTATATCATGAGCCTGAACTCCTGAAGAGCGATATGCCTCTCAATGGAACTATTGCTTTTTGGAACGCGAGAAAGATTTCATCAACCAACATTGCCGTTCTGGAAGCAATGAAATGGAGACTATCCCCAAAGTCAAAGAGATCCAAGACTGAGCCATTCTGTGTAATGGATCTTGGATATGTTCACGACCAATATGAGCATTGGGAAAAGACTCTTCCAGGCGTGACGCCGTTTTATGGTATTTTTCTCCCATAATACCCAGTGTTGCTTCATTCTGATTGATTCTTTTGGATTTCTAGCCGTCAAATGTAATCCCGACGTGCATATGATCGGGCTTTTGGGATCGCTGGGATGCGGGTTCGATTGTGCATCTCGACGTGAAATAGAGCTAGTTTTGGCCCAGGGAATCCCGGCCGCGAGGATACTTTTCGCCAATCCGTGCAAAAGCCCATCAGACATCACTTTTGCCAGAAATACTGGCGTGAATCGAATGACATTTGATAATGAGGCTGAGCTTCACAAGATCAAGCAGCTGTTCCCAGAGAGCCAGCTGATTTTGCGGTGTTTCGCTTCCGACCCATCGGCCACATACTCCCTCTCTGCTAAATTTGGAGCTCATCCAGAGACATCCGTGAGGCTCTTGGAGTGTGCAAAATCCTTGAGATTGAATGTTATTGGCGTGAGCTTCCACATTGGCTCTGGCGCAAGGGACCCAAATGCGTTCGAAATCGCCATAGAAAGTAGTCGACGGATCTTCGACGCAGGTATCCGGATCGGCCACAGCATGCGCCTGTTGGATATTGGCGGGGGCTTTTCAGAGAGCACATTTGAGGATATGGCTGCGTCGATTCAACGATCTCTGGACTTTCACTTCCGTGATATTAATGTAGAGCTCGTCGCCGAGCCGGGGCGGTACTTTGCAGCAGGTGCCATGACAATTGCCTGTGAGATCATCGCCCGTCGGGATGCAAAAGAAGCGCCTCCATCCGCGGAGGAGGCGAGCAACATGCTGTATCTGAACGATGGCGTGTATGGAACTTTTTCTTCTAGTCTGTTTGAGCCAAGCCCGCATCCTCGGGTCCTTCGCGCCTCAGGGGTTTTCTACCCACAACCGGCTGCGGGCGACCAGGTCAAGAATATCCTCTGGGGGCCGACTTGCGATGGAGTCGACTGCATTGCAAAGGACGTGGAGCTTCCAGAACGCTTGACTTTTGGTGACTGGCTCTATTTTCCAGATATGGGTGGTAAGTTCAAGTTCTCCTGTTTCGACAACTGTTAACCAGTTAGTTATCCATGCTTCCTGGCCTTTACTGATCTGATGCCAGCCTATTCAACATGCCTCGCAACTGGTTTCAACGGGTTTGCGAGCGACAGAGAAATCATATATATTTCTAGCAACCCGTTAACCATTGGCTTTCTGACAAAGGCCAACAAAATAATGTACAAGGAGCAAACTCAGTGATTGATTCCAACCTTCCGCATTCCAGGGAGACCACGGTATCTATTATACGATCATGTTGCAGGAAGACAAGACACGGGATGTGCCTTGCGCTTGAAAGTATTCGTCCATACAATTTAGAGCATACCAGCATATAGAAGGCAGCATATTAGAAAGGAATTGTAAATTAACTTACACTTAATACTCATTAACTAGTTATTGCCTAACTAAAGATCTCTAACAAGGTTCAGGGTTTTGGATTAATGTTCAGGGACCACAAAGTGTTAACTTGTCAGGGTTGAGATATTGGCAAGCCAACAAGCGTATATAAACCATTTGTCAAACTTCGGCTCATTGGCGTGGGCTCACTCCTTTTGAAGTAGCACCAGACTTTGTAATTTTAGATTATGCACACACTTATTAAATATAGAATTAATAGAATGAAATAACTTGGAATTTAGTTATATAATTTGAAATTTTTAATGATAAACTAGTAACTAATAATATATATAAAATACACTAAAAAGTATAACTAGTTAACTAGATGTATACTCTTTCAGATTTCTCTATTTCGTGTTTTTATGCTTCCAGCGATTATACTTATCGACTTGAACTGGGCCTCAGATGGTCTAACTTGAGTATAACAAAAAGCAGTCTTAAGCAGGTGGGAACTTTGAACTAGCTCTAACCAAATAATATATAACTAGTTAGTTAATTCACTAACTAGTTATAGTTAGTGAGTGACTGTCGTGGGTTGGCTGATCCTTCAACGCGGTTCTGTCTCCTCGATACGAAACCCAAATCCTTCAACAAGCAACCAATTTCCCGACGATGCGATGCCCACGGACAGCCTCGTTTGTCTCTTAGCTCTGTGGATGTGAATGGAGTCATATCATAACCACCCCACCACGGCCGTGCACGGGAAGAATCGGTGGAGGAGCAGAGAAGAAGCTGGATCAGTTACGAGGCAGGCTGCATCTCGAAAGCCTCCCCATAGTTAAACACGGCGATAGTTACCAACGGGGCCGTGACTGCATAAATAACCCACTAAACAACGACGGCCATGCATGCAAGGCTGGCCCTGGCTTGCTCCAGGGCACCAATGGAGGGCCGGGAGCTCGAGCGTCTCTGGTGCAGAAGCATACTCATGGATATAAAGTCCCAGTGCTTCACCTTTGAACATGAAAGCTCCTCGACTTGTTGTTTTCTCTTGCAGGTGCTGGTGGACAAGACACCCCCTTGGTGTTGTTACCAAGCATCAACTACGCGATAACTAGTTACGATTTAATGAAACGCACCCGCGAATGATCAACCAACGAGTCAAGGAAAGATAACGGATTTTTATATTCATAATACCCAGACCGGGACGTATTACCACTGTGTGCACTGTCGACTTTACGGTCTAAACCCTCGCCATGGCCCCGAAGGAAAATGTTGATGAATCTGCTATTCAGCTATTTTCCACAGTGCCAGATGGCAGTCCTGACCCGTCGTGCAAGGATTTAAATGATCCCGCGAGAGGATACCCCTTGCGCCGATTTTGGTTCCGTACCTTTGTCTTGATCCTCGGCCCGGTCATCATTTTCATCTACTTTTTAATGGCCTGGCTTTTCTTCTTCAAGGACACCGATACTGTTAAATATCGATCTCGCGATGGAACATGGGTTTACTATTCTTGGTTCGTGGTTGGTGTTTTCGGTTTGAACATTTCACGATATGGTCTTGTTGGCGTCGAAGCTGCTATGCTACAAGTGCCTTTCTGGGCGCCAAAGAGTGCAATGCGGCTCCTGATGCATAGCGGGAGCACCTGGGCCGGGCCAGGAGGATGGATGAAATGCATACAACGCGCTGTTTCCATGGAAAAGAACCTCGCAGGCCGACTATGGTATCTTCTCGCCGTGTTAAGCTTAGTGCCTTTAGTCGCATTCCCAATTTCTGGTTTGTCCATGGAACTCGCAGACGGGTATATCGAATCGTCAGCGCCGCCGATGGTCGTTGGCCGTGAATGGAGCAACTTCCATCGCCGCGAGCCTTATCAAACTCAGAAACGAGGCGGGACAGTTTGGAAAACAGCATCCGCAGTGATTCCGGGCATTGGTATTGCCTACACCCCTCCACAGGTCGATCGTGAGAAGTTCGAGTTTCTAACCACGCTGCCAAACTCCCTTTCCTCTAACCCCGGAATTCCCGAGCTCTTCCTTGGGCCGCAGGCGGCGACGCCTATCGGCGGTAAGGCCTGGGGACTTCGGCTTCAGTATAACTGCTCGATGGTCCAGTCAGCCTCGGAGTTCACAATCCTTTCCCAGAAATCTCCAGCCCTGAAGTCTAATGCCTCTGGTATGGTCGACGGTGCTATCAGATATAAAACCCTCGCGACACCTTCTGGTGCAACCATCACCTTCTTCAACAGCAGCCAGTCGATCGGTGGAGATAATCTTTGGGCATATACTGAGATGGGAGTGAGCCACGACTTCGTCTCGTCCACGTACGACGGCTCTGAGCCTAGTTTCGAATCTGGCAAGCCTGAGATCTTGGAGTATGCGCTATGGCAGGTCCGTCGCCCTTGTTCGTACGACGGAGACGACAGAATAACTTTCAACTATACCCTCAATCCCACCGTCACAGGCATGGGCAGCCCCATCATCCGGACTCCCAGCGGAAAATTCGAACGTAATGCTTCCTTCTTTGACTGGTCAAACGACACCTATACTAATGTAAAGGACTTTGTTTCCTTCGTCGCTTACGATCACTTCAATGAAAATATCACTTTGGCTCCCCCTATTGGAGTCCAATGCCGTCGCATATCAGATCTCGGTACCGCCAAACTGGACTCCCGAACAAGTACCTTCAGCGAGTTTGAAAAATCACCCAGCCCAGTATGGTCGGCGGCCGAATATGAGGCCAAACAACCTCGATTTGGTGCCACTGCAATATCCATTTTGCTAGGCCGCTATACCGAAATCTTCGAGTCGACCAATTCACCCCTCCCCTATATCCTTTCCAATTCAGCCTGCTATGATCGGTTTGTACAGCCACAAGTTCTATTACAGTCGGTTCTACAAGCCCACGCTGTTGATGGCTTGCAGCTGATGTATGATGGTGCTACGGGAGTAAATGGCGGCTATCTCAACACAAACTTGACATCATCTCGCCGTGGAAAGGTTCTAGAACCCGGTGTTGTTCCGCCGGTGGTTTCGACCATACTTCTGGGAATTTGGGCCATAGGATGTATTGTCTTGGGCGTGATGTATGGCTTTGGCCGTCGCTGGTCTGACACACTGGATGGATACAGTTTGTTCCGCTTCGGAGTAGACTTTGGTGAGGAACTTCGTGATAAGAATGTCCTATCCAGTACCCAGGGTCTAGAGAAGAGCAACCAGCTATGGTCCCTTCCAGGAATGATTGGTGATTCGAGAATGCAATTTGATATCGGGCATATCAGTCTAGTCGGGAAGAAGCAGGTTGTCAACCCAAATAAACTATACACCTGAAATGATATAATTATAAAATATACACAGGCTATTTATACCCCTCTCTATATATAATGAAATATATTATTTTTAATTGAGATATTGTCAGGGGGCCCTACCAAGTTAAAATCCTTATGGCTCAGTGAATCAAAGCTGACTTTAAGGGTTGTAATGAAGAAGGCAGATGCTCACTAAAAGTTTTTGAATTTCTGCAACTGATAGTCTATGAGTAGGTTTTGATACTGGAAGAGGCGCCGATGATACCCGCCAAGCAATCGATGACCTTACAACGAACAACGACCTAGCATACATCTCCATTGAACGGTAGTTAAATATCAACCGTTCCAAACACAACAATGTCAAGATATAGATCGGGAGACAACTCACGCAATTCGCAGTATTAACGCTGGATAGTACATTAGTAGTTATCTCTTATAATATTGGCGGCCGTGCTTCATTCAAGGATGCTTTTGGATTGGCTATCGTCTCTAATAGCTGTTCCAATTCCGTGACACTCGATCTCCAAGCTCAACCCTGCGCCCCGGTAGTTATACTAGTAGGCTACGGCCCTTAAACATACCCAGGTTGGGCTACTGCTAGCTATGGTCTTGTCGAGCCGCTTAATATAAAGGCAAGAGGTGTCTTTGGCCCTACTAAAGTCGTCGACTAACGTATTAGGGGCTTCATGAAAAGTATCTAGAAAGCAGGCCATTAAGGTAGACACATTCATCACGATGCCCAGGCTCCAGGAGCACACCAGGGACAGTAATTATAGTGTTATTTGATTCACTTACTAGGACTTATCCTGTTTTGGAGTTATCATACATAAAAGCCCCGAACTTAGGATGTGAGTTCAGGAGGTGAAGGCTATAAGCAATCAATACCATTCAACAATGCAGGTTATTGGTCTGTTATTGATAACACAATATGGAGAAACATCTATATTCAGCAATTTAGTACACTTATATATCCAATAATAGTAAAATTAAATGTGTTATCAAATTCAAAGAGAGATTGAATAGAAAGTACAGCAAAAATTAGCAATAGGAGTCGATCTGAACCTGAAGGATATCTCGGAAGCTCGAGGGAACATCACGTGACCTGAGTTCCACCAAAGCTGGAGACACAACGGCAGCAAACGCGGGCCGGCTCCAACAGGACATAACGCGTCCCTTTGATACAGCCATCAAGAAGCCACATAGCTAGAGCTCAAGACTGTATCCCAGAATTTATTATCTTGATATTCCAATCCCAAACCAACAGCTGCTGTCTGGAACGATACCAAAACCTACTACCATGGCTCATCTTCCCACTCAACAACCCCGGGATAACACCGTAAGTAATTGGGTATCATGGAACCAGAATTTTGATGTTTAACACAAAAGATAGTATCGAAATTCGCGGGATAAACCGATCACTTAAAAGACTTCGAAAAGACGATGCCGAACGGGTCGTTACAGGCATCTGGATAGCTATTGTGGCATCAGTTTTTGAACCAAAACATGAGTATATGATTCGCGCCCAGAGTCTTTCCCCAGGGGGGGGTTACAGACCTTCTTGGTCTCCATTTTATCCAATAAGGAAAACAATGTTATGAGGTACAATTTCTTGTTGTGCAAGCGAAGGCTCCTAGAAAGGAGTCACAGGACTCGGCCTGGGAGGGAGCTAAAGCTCAGTTGCTGGACTACTTGCCGCATCTTGAGCCCAAAAGAAAGCGCCCCAGATATGGGATTGTGGCAGTAGGGAAATGGGCGCAGTTTGTCCTCTTTGACGAGGATAGTCGACAATTGACGGCGCTTCATGACGGGCACCTTCATGTTGAAAGACAGTGCCAGGACATACAGGATTTGCTTTTGTATGTTCGAGAGAACCATTAATGTTTGAGCGCTCCCGATTACGTGTAGGTCCTTAGTGACCGGTCGGTGAGATTGCGTGTGCTTTTTAATCAGATTCTTGTGGTTTGTTTACCTTGCTTGTTCGTTCTTTTGTGGCTGCTGAACAGTCGTGATAAGTAAAGTTTCCTATTATACACACTCGAGTTAACGCAGAGAACGTGTTAGAGGCGGGAGATACTCCATACACTATAGACAACATTTTATTCCATGGAGATATCCAGAGCTTCAGAGTTGAGGACGCATTTTGAATGTAACTATTAGGACGAGAAAAGGTTCACCGTTTGCCTTGTAACACGTAATCTTTTATCGGGGCCAACAATTTCATAATATGCATTCTGTTCCACAATTCACCGGATTTTTCAAGCAGATTCTGGCTCAGAACTTCAGACACAAAGAATGCCCAGGGAAAAGATTCCGAATCAACGTAGTTCAGCTCAAAAACAAGGTCAACCGGGATCTGCCGCTTCCAATACTCTATGGGAAACTCCTCTTCAAATGCAGTCAGCATGGTATATAGCTCTTGGGTAGTAAGATAGTCTGCGATACACATCAGTATCTCCAATGGAAGCCGATAATCAAGAGTCAGAATCCGCTTTGAGGATCGTCTAATAAGGGATGAATTTTGTCTGCAATTTTGGAATAATGAATCCAACTCCGGTATAAATACAGGATCTGGCAAGCTCAACGTTGGCTATCGGGGAAAGCTTTTATTATCCCAATGCATGTAATCCCGAAATGCAAGTACCCGCCGATATTCCTTTGAATGCCCGAGGCGACCGGCTAAAAAGTAGTCAAACGGCCCTGCAAAGAGGGGCGAGTAATAGTTTGTGGATGCCGCCACTAGCTGAGGCATCAAGTCATCCATCCCACTGTTTCCGTAATGCTGCAACAAGTAGATCCAGTTTAAAACCAGTCACAGGCCCAATGTTATGTTGAATGAGATCCCAGCATCGAGAATGGAGGGGATATCCTTCAAGGGAAGAATTATCATCATCAGAATCACGAGGAGTGAATGGATGTGGCATCGGGGTCACCTTCAAGGCATCCGAATTTTCCTTGGTAAACCCGATACACGCAGAAGCTGGATCTCGAAGACTGAGAATATGTTTCCCCTTCAAGGTGCGGGCACCAGGCGTGTAGCCTATTCCGGAGAGATGATAGCCCTGAGAGAGGAGCTTGTCATTCTTGCTGAATATAACTAGACACAAACATTCAAGTCAGACCAAGTTCCATAACGAGCATCAGTAGCAACGACGAACTAGTTACGTACTCATACGAAAAAGATTAACCTATGTATCAGCGCAGGGCTCCAGTGGCGCGCCGCACAGCCAGCAGAATAGCGGGCCCGGATCGACGGGCAGAGTGGCCCCGCGATGGGGACCCCGGCGTGTGCGGCCGCGGCGGCGGTAAAGCAGTGCGTTCTTCATGGTTATAACTAACTAGAAAGCAGCGTCGAGTAGTACTCGCTTGTGGGCAGCTAGAATTTACTAGCTACATAAAATTTACAGAATGTGAAGATAACAACCTCTAGTTATATTAACTACTAGGTAGGTATATAACGTCGATAATAACTTGATAGCTAACTATGACGTCAATAGCTTTCATCTCCGAAGGCCGTCATTAAACAATAACTATTTAACTACTAGTTAGCTAGTTAGCTGCCATCTTCTAACAAAAACCAACTGTACCCCGGATTATATTTAAGGGGTCCCATTTCTGTTTCAGGCTCCGCAGCTTTTCTAGATGCTGTTTATCGCCAAAGATATCACTGGCATCCTCTCTCTCGAAGGGCATATTGATGTACGCAATACTCTCAGCGCGGCTACCATCCGTATTCGTCAGAAAGGCGTCTCTAACAGCCCGGTTGAGTTCTGCGCATGCATCATCCAGCGCGGCGTCTTCGTACCAGGCCAGGGGCATCACCCAGTACTTCACTTCCCGCCGCATCTTTCCGGGAATCGAGGTCTCCTCCCCGTCCTGGTCCAGTTCACTTACCACGTCCATGCTGTAGAACTCCGTGAGAATGTGCGTCCTTAGCGCTTCCGGGTACTGGGTGATGAAGTCCATATATACCATAAGGGCGGCCATGCATGAAGCTTCTGAGATGCCCCGCATACCGAAGGCTGCCAGGTTCTTCCTCCCCACGTAGGAACAGACCCTCTCGCTAGAGTCGTTGAGATTCACGTACGGTATCAGACGCCCGATGGAGTGCAGCGGGTGGTCTGCCATGAACGGGAGTCCCAGCAAGGGTTCGAACTTCTCAGCAGCTTCCTCGGGATTGCCCAGATACCACAGCTGCAGGAGAACAATCGGCTAAAGGGGAGGATTCTCCATCAGCATTCGTTCAACTACTCTTCCTGATATCATTGCTATCCATGGTAGGTCTTCCGCTTACCTGCTTATTGGGGGCGCAAAAGACCAGCCGGCCCTGCATCCCTCCACGATAGCTGACCCGGTCCACCGCCTCTGCCACCCGCCCGGCATCACACGGCCGGAATGCAAGGCAGCTATGCCATGTCTCATGCTGCCAGGGGAAAACCCGAAAGGTGGCCTCAACGACTACTCCGAACAAATGGCCGCTTCCGCGGAGGGCCCAGAAGAGGTCTGGGTTGATCTCCCGCGATGCTTCAACTATCCTTGCCCTTCCGCTGCTTCCAACCACCGCAACTCGTATTGATACTACTGTGTCTGCTGCATAGCCATAATGTCCGAGCAAACGGCCAATACCACCTCCTAGAGCAGCCCCAACCTGCATCCCGTTGTTAGCGGCAGATACACACTGGTATGCATGCGGTGATGCTCTTAACTCACTAAGCCGACCTCGTTACACGTCCCCGTCGCGATAGCTAGCCCTTCTGAAGCAGCAGCTCTCAATCCATCGCCCATTGTTGCACCCCCTTGCACAATAGCCACCTTTTTCTCTATATCAATTGAAACATTTCTCATCTGTGAGAGGTCTAGGACAATTCCAGGGCTGCTGATAGTTGAAAAGCCGTTGCTATGTCCGCCTCCTCTGACCACGAATGGTTTCCGACTTTCGACAGCGTATGAGATCTATAAGTCCAGTCAGAAACTCATTTAAAGCACACCCAGATGAGCCACGAGATTATTATTCTTTCTTTCTTTCTTTCTTTCTTTCTTTCTTTCTTTCTTTCTTTTTTTTTTTTTCAACTAACAGTCTCTATAACGTCATTGTCATTCACAGGATGGACAACTGCTGCTGGGGTCTGCCCTCGATACACCGTCCACCTTTTCAGTGCGTTCTTCCAACCCGGATCTGCCTGCACAACCACGGCACTCGATGATGAAAGCCGGCTTAGCAGTGCTTCTTTGATGCAATTATCATCCATTTGTGCCAGATAGGGCAGTCCTGTTTTTTATCCACCCGTTATGGTTATACCGAGACCAAACCCAGATGATATATATAATTCCCCGTCGGCAGATATTCCCTCCATCTCAGGCTCGGCCTAATCTCATTGTCGCTATATATTCACCGAAGAGAAGCTCGGTGTATATTTTTTTAGTTATACCGCCTATCATGTGGTCTTCAGGCCCGGCCATGATCCTACTTGAAATCTGTGCCGGCAATTTATCTAAATCTACAGTTTAAATCCTCTGGCAAAAATGGCCCTGCGGAACGGGCATATTGGCAAATTTCAACCGCAACTTCTATAGTTTCCATCCTTGTATCACTATAACTCGGCTAGTTTATCGATGAAGCATGGAAGCAATATTTTGCCAAATCACTCTATACCACGCCCCTTACCCTCGGTTTCAACTTTAGATTGACATCATACAGCCCTACCCAGCTTGTCTTGTCAACTTTGAATTCTCCGTCGAGCGCCTGCATTGGTTCTAGCGAGACTTTATACCTGCCGAACAGGTGGTATACAACAGATTTGATGATCTTATCGGCGATATGCTGCCCAAGGCATTTTCTCGGACCATACCCATATGTTGCTAGGTTATAGCGAAGCTAGAAAGGTTATATGTCAAAACTGAGATGATACACCTTATACAACCCACAGACTAGGTTGTCTCACCTGGCTTTGCTTTATAGTTTCAAACCTGCTAGGGCGGTATGAGCGATTATCAGGGGCCCAAAATGGGTTGCGTATATTGATTGCGAAGGCGTCAACAATAATGGTGGTGTGTTTGGGGATAACGAAACCGCCCAGGGTCTTCTCTCTAGGAGGGTTCTCAGGGAATGTGAAGGCTATAACCATAAAGTTAGTTTCTGTTTACATCAAACTTACTTCAGAGTCAGACTCACTTAACACTGGCCGGAGACGCAGTGATTCCATCAAGCAATAATGCAGGAGGGTGTCCTTTCGCGGTATATATGCCTCACTGTTCCCCTTGTTTTTTTCTATCTCTGCAAAAAGTTCTGTCTGGACATTGGGAGCGTCCGCCAGGAGGATGATACATGAGGAAATGACGTGGGTGACAATATCAAGGTTGGCAAATGTCGACTCTGCAATGGTGTCATATACCTGTTGCAAAACAAAAAGTTAGTCGCGCTGAAAGGTGGCGTATATCATGGCTTTTTGTCATGCTATTAACGGAAACAACTTGCCTCAGCCTGAGTCAACTCTCCCTTCTTCGCCGCATCCATGAGAGTTACTATTGCACAGCTAGGGTCCTTGATTTCTCGGGACTTGTACATGTCATTATTAAACTGGTGCCAGGCCTCCTGGTACTGCTGCGTTTTTTTCCAGGTGGCTGTATTGAGGTACTTTGTCAGTTTCAATCGATGGATGCCACCCATCACAACTGACGCAAACACCTCTGAATAACGACGGCCGAGCTCCCAGAGCTGTTCTTGCTCATCCTTGCTCATCTTACCATAGAATATTGAAGCCACCTCGAAGAATGGATATTGCTGGAGAGACTCCGTGGCATTTATTATAAATCCATCTCCATCTGTGCCCTTCTTGCCTGGCAACGCAAACTTATGAATATCGGCCACATACTCTGCCGCACCAACATTGAGGCTCTCTTGTAGAAGGTTCATGGATGCTTGGTGTGAGAAAGTTGGGTCGAGTGCCTTTCGTAAGCCAGTCCATCGGCCTCCATTGATAAGCCCAAGACCGGAACCGAGGAGCTGTGTGAGGAGCCAGCCTGCGTTTGCCTGAGATGCTTTCAGGTGGTCGGTAGATTGACGATATAGAACCTCAACATCTGCTGGGTCGGTTATCACGCTTTTCCAACAACCGGGCAGAATGTTAGCCTTCTTCCATTCTAACAATGACACCATATCTTATGTTCAATTGGGAGGATATCCATACACCTCAGGTATAGTTGCTGCCCAGATGCGGTAAGTCTTTCCATATTTCCTCTCCCATTCCCAGCTTTTGTTTTTGGCATCCAAAAACTTGTCCACCATCTGGCCATTGGGAAACTTATATCGAGGCCCAGTCATTACCCTTTTACCGGTTGCATCATAGATACGATGAGTAGAGGTTAAAAAAGTCTGTTTTATATGAGTACTGGACTTGTTATTCATATCAGTGACTGCTTAGTGGACTTACATTAACCAGAACATCTGCTATTTCATTTGGAGACAGCAGCACGATGCCGATACTCAGGAATAGCAATGTTATAACCCAAATACCTGGCGGTAAAAGGTCTATGGTAAGATAAGGGTGTATGCTCTCCATGGCTCGTCCACTTCGTTTGACTCTCAGTTATTACCAAAATATTCTGCACTCATAAATATCAAGATTTCTTACGTGTATTTGTACCAGCTGTGCTTGTCGGCGATTAAATGAGGCAGTCTTCGGGATATATCACATCGGCGTCGACGGCGCGGTATTCTAGTTTACCTTGAAAGGGCCGTCCATAGAACGCAAGAATAGCAGCCTGGTAACTGTGACATATTTACCCGGCCTTACCAGCTCATAATGATTTGTCTACAGAATAGGTGATAGGGCTGACAGACACGTTTCGTAAATAAATAATATTAGTAGTTAAATATTCGGTTGATATAATCGTCCGATGATGAAATATCTGCAAATACATCTACCATTTATGAATTCAATAAATTCAGCTAGTTAACAGCAATACAGTCTCAGAAAGCCTAGTCGAAATATAAATTAGGAAGTTATACGCCGCTACATAGTTGTAATCATAAACGAAAGAAAAAAAGGCGGGGAAAGGTAGGGATTAGAGACGGGGTTCTGTCAACTGTTAAAAAATGTGGGTTGACTGAAATCGATTAGCGGTACAGTGTCAGCAGAGGGCATTGAAAAACCCCATAGGAGAGACTAGGTTAAACCTTTTTGATCAACCGTGATCCTCCCTTTATTACTCGAGCAATTCCAGTGCAAAATCCACCCAGGAACATGGTTGCACCCGCAAAGCACATCAAGCCGATGAACTTGTCCCCTTCTCTATCCTTTATGGCACCTTCGATAGGAAGCCCAGTTAACGCACCTAGAGCAATTGCGAGACAGAAACCTCCAAGCTTTACACCAATTTCATCGACTCGATCGTCTGCAAGCGAAACAACACAGGGAGGTCCCAAGCTGACGAATCCCCCACTGACAAACCCAAACAGCAACGCGAAAATAATGACACCAGGTAATGAGGTATGAAACTCTAGAGGAAGCCAAAAGGCTAAAACCAAAACACCGGAAAGAGTGGTAACAAGACACATGGCATTAAACTGTCCGATTATGTCACTTGCCCATCCAGGGACAATTCGACCGATAAGTGATCCTGCATTGGCAATTGCTAGGGTATATTGAGCGAAGTCACCAAACCCGTGTAATGCTGCCATCTCAGGGAGGTAGTTGAGAGGGGCAAAGAGACCCCACATGGTGAAAAAACATCCCAGTATGAAAAATGCCCATGGCCAGCTTTTGAAACCCTGTAGTCCGCTGCTAGAAGAGGCAATTTTATCCTTATCGGCTGCAGGTTCTTTGCTTAGAGGAGGAAAGGGTGAAGAGCAGAGAACATTGGCAACAATCAGGAGTATTCCTTGCATAAGGGCAGTCCAGCGAACGGCTGAGGGAAAGCCAACCTCTTTAATTAGCCGAGGAAGCATACATGGGTAGATGATCCCCCCAAGGCTGCTGCCAGCGGAGACAATTCCAACGGCAAGGCCCTTTTTAGTTGAGAACCACTGTGTAGCTGTGGCCATCGCGGGGAGAGATAATCCAGCAGCAGCAAATCCAAAAGCAACGCCTTGGGCCAGCATGACTTGCCAGTATTCCTTGCAGAGGCTAAGCATGCAGACGGCGAAAACTGCCATGATACTGAAAGGGGGAAGCGTCTTCCGACATCCATACACGTCAATCAACTTCCCAACCGCCGGGCCAAACAAAAAGAGCAAAAATATCTGGAGGGTTGTAATCCAGGCTAAAGCTGATGAGCTTTGTTCCCTGAACATAGTTTGCTGGTAGTACAGCTGAAAAACGCCACAACTACAATAGTAAGCGATGACGCCCTTCAAAGACCCATTACAGGTGTTCTGGGGATACTTACGCATTCACATAGCCAAAGGAACAGAATTGCAAGAGAAAGGATCCGGCAACACATGCCCATGCTTTCGCACCACCATCTGGAGGGATACGGTCAAGACGATTTGCATTGGCAGGAGTAGCCTCAGCCTCTTCTTTAGATAGAGGGTCATCCGATAGAGAAGCCGGCATCCTGGATAGTATCGATCTGGGTTGGAGGCTTGACGTTGGGATTCAAGGAGGCTGCGAAGTACAGCTTCCCCAGAAACCAGCCATGGCAAAGGGTATCGTTTTAAGGCAGGGAGGTCGCCATGACATCTCGGCTTCGGGTTGGTCTCCCAATACTCGGCCTTGCCAGCTCATACTGACTGATTCCGTTATGATCTGGCGAGCTGGAGGGACTTATTCGGTCCGCATGCGAACGTGTTTGTCCGAGCGCGGGCTTATAAGGGGCTCGCGGATGGCCATGGCGTAGTGGACAGAGGTCGGTGCTCGCGGGTGATCACCTGACCACGACATAAAGTCGCCGGGGGATCCACCACGGCAGGTCTTGGCGCTCGGCCGAGGTTAATTGAGTGGGTCCGCTCCTCGGGCCTTGGCGTCCCATGGGGCTCGGCCGAGGAATAGTGGGTCCAAAGCTCTTTATTTTTATCTGGGGCTTGAATTTTATTTTTCCTCGTTGGACACCTTTTTCTGACGTCCTTCCTCGGCTCTCGCTTCCCCGCGAGCTGAAAAGTGTTTAATAAATGAATTACTGCCCGTTTCGGGGCCTGCAAGTTCTCAAAACTCCTATATTTGGTTGTTGCTCGCCTCTTACCTGCTCGCTGGATTTCTCCTTGCCGGCTCCCTCTCGCTTCCAGTCTGCGACCCTGGATTCCTGGGCTGCGTTAGCCTCTCGCCTGTTTGCTGTTCATTTCTCAGCCTTTCTCAATATCATCTTGTTCTATATGCCAATTGTGTTTCCCCCTCACACTATTGATGTTCATCTCCAAGTTGCAGGAAGGCTGAAACGCTTATAGGATTCAAAGGTTGTGATCCTGCATGCCGAAATTCAGGCAACAGACCATGGAGAACCAATCAATAAAATTTAATTGAACATGATGGAGAATAATAGGATGACTGAGATATATGGAAAACCGCTCCATACTTGCAACGACTTATCGCAAGGTAACCAAAGGAAGACAAAGCTTGAAAAGGCCTAAATATACCTCTAAAGCCCATTACAAACGGACCTATATTGCATATTTATGACATTTTATGACTTCGGTGTTTTATTTATGCTGGGGTAAGGATTATCGTCATCCTGTAGGATGAGAACAATGATAGGCGATAGCCCAACTACGCGTCGAGGCTTCGTTTCCTCCATGCACTAGTTCTGAGGCTCTTGTTGTCTTATTTGCCCATTCCTGGCTGTGGGTGTATGCGGTTTATGCTCTAGCATAAATCGAAACTGTCAGCTACGTTGATTGCCAGCCTTCATCTGCAATAGCATGGCAATATCTCTGGTGACCATGGTAGTGGCTCCACACTTAATTCTCCATTTTGTCTGACGCCTATCAAATCCCTGTTATTCCACGAGACCGCAGCTTGCCTTCGTATCAGCATCTCGCTGCGTTCTCGTATTATTTCCTCCATGGGCATACATAGAAGCTAGGTGCATCCATGGGAATCGCATGGTACCCCATTTGTTCATTCAAATGCTTTCCAGTCCCATCTCCAAGGGGTCTTGGATTTCAAGCCATCTAATAGACTCTGTTTCCATAAGAGTACAACTTACCCCACCATTGCTCTTGTGCCACTGAATTTCTCCTTTCTTGCACATTAAAACGCTGCATACATATTGCACAAAGATGGCGGGCGAAATGCTTTCTTGGGAACAGTCTGTACCACTACAGCCACGACGAGAAACGGAGCAGAAGCAAAAATTGCGGTCTGCCTGTGATTCGTGTCATCAATGTAAAGTCAAATGCTCTGGGGGGTCTCCATGCTTCCGCTGCGCCTCTAAAGGTCTTTCCTGTCGCTACGGATATCAAAATAGAGCAGGTAAACCCAAGGGGTGCAAAAATCGCAAAACCATTGAAAGAGCCCATCGGCAGCAGCAAATGGAACTGTATTCCACTCTTAACCAGGAGCCCAGCAACCCGAATCATGGATTTGAAGATGTGACCTTTGGCATACCCGACCCTCTGACAGTTTTACCCGCCTCGTATATAGCATCCGAACATTGGGACACGGTGAGTGGACTGGATTTACAGTGTCAACTTGCTATTGCTACCGGCTTCCGTCTCAAGGTCGCTAATATTTCATTTTGATAGGAGTCCTTGCCTAAAGGACCACTCTCCCAACTGGTAACAAACACCAACCCAGGATTAAAGTCTACGGGCATGCACGATGAAGGCCTATCATCCTTGCATGATTTAGACGGGTGGACCGTGGACCTAAGGTCAATTATAGATACGTCCGGGGGAAACAGATCCGAAGGTCTAGAAGGCCTCGCAACGCCTATATCGTCTGGCAAAGCAGAGTCCTTTACAGACAACGGCACAGAGCCCAACTCCCCCACAACACCTGAGATTCAATCACACCATTCTTCAGCCTACAGGCCACCAAGGGATACATGTACATGCGTCCAGGCCCAAGCAACAAACATAGCGGTGCTTCACAAGCTGGCAAACCGTGATATTTCCGATCGATTTGACTTAGCTATGAAATCAGTGACGTCGACATTAGACACCTGTGAACGTTTCATTGCCTGCGGCACATGTGACAAATCGTTTCCCCTGATCTTACTCACCTTCTCGGCGATAGAGCTTATCTTCAAGCTGTTCGAGTTACTCGCGATAAACAATAGTAGCATACTGCCTCCTGGAGAGTCTCACATCCTTGCATGCTGTCTCGGCGATTACAAAGTTAGCAAGGAAGAGGGAAAGGCAATCCAGAATGTCCTCCTTAAAATGATTCTTTCAAAGGGCAAACAAACACTAGATGCACTGCACAACCTCGTCAATGACTCCTCAGAGCCCAGTGAGCCCAGTCATGCAAGTTTTGTGCAACATGATGGCTCAAAGCTGGAGATACCTGATCCGATAACCCGGAATATCCACCGAGAATTGTCTACCGTGGACCAGGATTATATGAACCAATGCATCAAACGCAAAAAGGAAGAGGTAGAAGCTCTTATGATTACCGTGGCTGTATGATTAGCTCCTATTGACATGCTCATTCTCGCAGAGAATCCGTGATCAGATTAACTACCAGAAACGATGGCAAGTCCACTTTCAACAGCTTCAAGGCAGTTCAAGTCCTAATTATCTTACATTTTTGACGAGGTTATGTTGATTTTCACTATCGAGTCAACAGTTACTTGTTGTCCATATCCTTTTTCCTTTTCCTGCGCTCTGTGTCTGTTAACCGCTGGTTATTTTCTCCCATGAAGTAAAACGTTGTTCCCAATTGCCCCAATTGCCTTCGGTATATACGTCTTGTTGCAGCATATACTCCAATCTTGACGGAATTTAGCAGCTTTTCATACTAAATTATCAATCAATAAATATTCTCACTAGTACTCAGCCTCACCGTGAACTCAATTCTCCGACTTGTTATGACTTGCCATGAGGTGTAAATGTGTGTCTGTGATGTCACGTGACCCATATCAAACCTTATCCACTACCTTCGGAAGCTAATCCCAGTTAACCATTGGTTATCGAGTTAAGCTGCGAAGTTGCGACTCCGCCGGTTGGCATCACAAGCCCAAACACTATCAGGATCTGCCGCCATATAAGGCGCTCTCCGCTTATACAATTAGTTGCTGGCTGAATACGTACACCATCTCTAGTAACTAGCAGAGCACCGCTGACTGTTAGCGTTTTCACGCTTTTATGGATGCCCCGTCTCCAAGGGCTCTGCCATCGGTCAGCACTGGCCAACCGGGGGGCATACAAAAGACTCGGCAGCGCGCCATCGCGGCGTGCCTGACTTGTCGTCGTCGGAAGGTCAAATGTGACCATGGTCAACCTACGTGCTCACCATGTCTAAGAGGCAATCGAGCCTGTTCATACGTTAACTCTCAGTCGAATCTGCCCGCCGCCGCATCTGCGACCTCCAGACGACCAACCAACCGGACACCACGGCCCAACCTCCGTGCTGGTCAGGATGAGATTCGGAATCGTCTTGAAAGACTGGAGAGACTGCTTGAACGAGCAATAACTGGTGGCAGTAACGCCACTCACTCTCCTGACCCGCACATTGGCCAAGTTCGCGGCACTCCGACACCCACCAATGCCGGGCAAAGCTCCGCGACAACTGATACCAAAGCTGTGAATCTAAAGTGCGAAACCCTCTCAGTTGATGGCTATGACGGCGCGCTACTCTTGGAGGCAGAAGGTGGCCAATCTCGTTGGGTGTCATCTCTCCATTATGCCCTCCTCGCAGATGAGGTACAACACCCAATATCACTTACTACGCTTCTCAGAGTCAATATTATGACATTCTAACGATTATAGATCCATGATGTAAAAATGCTGCTTGGGGACCATGTCCAGGGTACTTCAACAGAAAGCCCTTCACCGTTGGAACAAACGATTGAACCCTTTCCATTTTCTACTGAGGTTCCCTCGGATAGTCTAGCACCGTGGGTACCCAAGACAGCTGAGGAATGCTTCACACTGCTAGATATATTTTATTCCAATGTGGATCCGATGACGAGGCTAGTTCATAAACCTTCCCTTCGAAAACGATTTCTTCAGTACACCATGGAGATATATGGGCCCAATTCCCAAACTTCAACGGACAATGGTACTACACAAACTCCATACCCTGCGATACACACGTTTGAACCCCTTGCTCTGGCAATATTCTACTCCTCTATCAATAGTTTATCTTCCGAGGCTGTTCAAGCGCGCTTTGCTACTGAAAAGGGACCGCTCCTTGCTAGGTTTCAGCGAGGTGTGGAATACGGCCTTGGAAGAGAAGATTTCCTGACGACTCCTAGAATTGAAGTTCTACAAGCCTTTGTACTTCTATTAGTAAGTCTAATATCACCCTCTTCTATTGTATATGCTTCTGTCTTACCGTGTAACATAGACTTGCCAGTCTCGGGAGGATGACATGTCGAGGACGTGGACACTATTAGGCCTTGCCATGCGGATAGCGCTTTCACAGGGTCTTCATAGAGAACCTTCGTTATTTCCTTCAAATAATATGGACGTCGTGCAGGTCGAGATTCGCCGCAGGCTATGGCATCAGATATGCTATCTAGACTTCCGTTCGGCAGAAGGTAGAGGCCAAGAACCTACTATAGCCGATGAGGACTACACAACTCTTTTACCACGGAATATTAATGACAATGACCTTGTCGAAGGCGAACCCTTGGTGGCAGGGACATACTCACCACCTGGATTCACAGATATGACCGGCCACTTAATTCGCTTGAATGGAATCCACTGCTTTAGGAGAATTATTCGCAGCACGTATCGGTTAGAACGACGGCTTAAGTCTCTAGGTATTAATGGGAACAACGATATATATCCTATCACAGAACTTCAGTCACTATTCATTGAAATCCGAAATATGGTTGATGAAATGACTGTCCACTTACAAACACAGTACCTGCAGTATTGTGACCCAAATGTTGCAAACCAACGCCTAGCTCTTGGTCTCGCTGCTGTTATTGAATGGCGTTGCTGGTCTATATTTTGGTTACGGACTCCAAAACAGTATCGGGAGGCCGTTGTGGATCCGGAGATTCGAGAGACGTTAGTTATACCGGTTCTGGATCACGTATTGGATGTGATACTAACTAGCAGTATAGTGTTCTTACAAAGTCCATTAGCTTGGTTGAGAGCATGAATATGATGCCCGATGACAAGGACGCAGAGAAATTCCAGTGGCATATCGGGGGACATGCCTGCTTCCAGGCAATTATGCACATTGTATCCGAGCTTGGAACTCCGGAATTCCAAACCCCGACCCATCATTCACTCCGGTCCCGTGCACTAGCTGTCCTGAAGAAGACAACTGATGCAAGGGGGTCGGAGCACAGTTCTACATGGAACGTTATTAACCGAATTATCTCCAATTGTTTAGCCAAGAACACTCCCAGTATTTTACCTTCGACCCCGTCAAATGATACCTACTACATATATCAAGAGTCTGTGGATTTAGCCCAGTCGCTCCAAGAATCTCGACGTGTATCAGAGGACTCAACAACACAAGGACTGCATTTATCTTCGTTATTTGGCATGGGAAGTCTAGGTATGCAGGATCCATCTTTGACTTTTGACTGGGTAAGTAATATAGTCCTTGAATTACTACTGCTTTCCTAACATATATTTTTAGGGATTTTGGAATGTTGACCCCACTGATCCTAATTCATACTAAGGTGTGAGGGTACGATCAGATGTGTCCCTTCCTTCGGCTTGTTCTGCACTGAAAGGAGAATATAACAGTCGATGATAGTAGTAATAACAATATTTATTTGAATTGCAGGTCTCTCTCTCACATGATGAATAACTAACCCCATTGTACCACCGAGGAAGAAAAAATCCACGACACCTCCCTTTAATGGAGCCTGCACCACCTTCGAGTGCATTAAATATGGTCCATCATTTCCTCCCGTGTGCTGTACACCCGCGGGCTATAATACATGGTCATATAAACTCCTTTCTTCTTCTTGTATGAAAATGAAAGGTACGTATGTGTTCCCGTTGACGCGGAAAGTGGGTGGTGTGAACTACGCCCAAGTCAGCATTCTCCATCCTTCAGACCACGCTAACATCAATTTCGGAATGATAATAGGCATTTCCCAGGAACTTACAACAAGTCTTCGAAATCTCTTCGATAATCTCTCTCCATCTGATACCAGCCAAGCTTCCCAAAGAGCTCCTGTAGTCTACCTGCTATTTGCAAGTCATTATCACAATAATGACGTATTGGAAGGTATACCTTCGGCTCTGGAAACCATTTTCCTGGGCGTATTTCAAAATTGAAGATTGTCCCCGCTGTCCTATGGCTGTTATGAGGCAGTTCTGTGTCCTCATCAGTCGCTCTGAACATTGTCCTCCAGGTAGTATCCAGAAGAGCCAGACTCTCAGCCGTGTTGTCATCCATCAAACGCCCACCCAAACAATAGGCCTCCTTTACTATTCGCAAAGAAGTGTGAGGAATTCGGACATATATTTTGATACGGGATTCGACATCATCCACGCAATCCACACTGATCATTTCTGCTTTTGCTCCATCATAGCTGGCAATCCAAGCCTCCAAAATTGATACCGCCGCGACTGTCTGCGCGCCCCACACATGGGACTTCTTTGCAAGAGCCATAATGGATCCAGAGAGCACCTTTATTGTGCTTTGGCGTGTAACCAGTGCCTTGAGAATAGGGAAAAAGTACGCCTTGGTAGTTATACGGTCTGCGTCCAGGTCAAATGCCAGAAAATTTTGCGTTACGTGCTCACCCTTAGGCAGAGTTTCCCTTATGGCTGTATATGATTCAGGACCGACGAAGAGTTCGTTTCGGAAGTGTTCAAACAAGCCGCCCGTTACTCCAACCTCTGCTGCATTATGAGACTGAAAGAACCGTGCAACTGATGCCTGGTTGAATGGGTCTACGGCTGTTCCAGCATCAAAACCAATTGGCTCAATCCCAAGCCTTATCGTACTCCGAAAATCAGAACTGCCACTCACGTTCCAACTTGGCTCCAAGGGGGAATAGTCATCAGTCAGGAAAGATTTCCATGCTTCATTGTCTGACGATTGCGCCGAATTTTCAATTGGTCGGGGCCCCAGCAATGGGAGGATATGGGTATGGTAGAGAAGAAGGTATTTGTAATGCTTATAAAGGGGGTAATTCGCCTTTTCTAGAAGGCTGCTCATCAGGGGACCTGTCTTTCGCCACCAATACCCAGTTGAAGATGTTGGAGCAGGTAACGGGAGGGCAGCTGTAAGGACATCGTACGGTGTGGAAAAGCTTTCTCCCGTGGGTTCGGGTCTATCGTTATTACCGTTTGATATCTTCGTCGTTCCTTTCCCATGCACAGCTGCACCTTGGATATCATTAACATGTGTTTTCACCTCAGCGGGTGTCAAGATCAAAGATTCGGCGCTGATTGCCATATTGGCTTAACTGGAATGGATCTTTGCCAGAAAATTCCTGTTGCTTTATTTTCCCGGGATGATTCTTGATTTGGTTTCCCCTGCACTTATATATGTTATATATGTTATCAGCCAAGTCCAATTGCAACAGTCTCGATCCAATCCGTGTCTTATTACTTCGGTGTCGGGGATGCAAATTTCGGTCGCCGATTTGAATATCCCCTCCGATAGACCTCTAAGCGGATCTTCAATACCAGCGGCCCGGGGGGTACTGCAATAATCGCCAGTTTACCACTGTGACTTTGTGTTTGGTATATTAGAGAGATAGGCTCTGGAGAAGGAACAATGATATTTAGACTAACCATCTAAATGCTACCATAAGTACAGATTGCTAGCTCCATTATATCATTGGATTCAAATATGTCCCGAAGCCTGATTCCAAAACCATGCTTGCTACATATATGCTGTAGCTGTATTGCGTCTATACTCTGAGCTCCTAGCTCCCAGAATGACTGGTGGAGAAGCACGGCCTTATTATCTAGGCCTAGACATTGGCACATTGCATCCCTGATACCAGTCACCAGTCGTTCCAAGCCGTTGGTATTCTGATGTTGCAGTGTTGTTTCGTTATCCCTCCTTCCCCTTTTCTCCTCTTCCCTACCATCTGTACTGTCTGAAGGTTTGTATCTATCGAAATCTCCAAAAGACGATATCACTAGGTGTTTTATACGGTTTGGAGCTGTATCCAGGACCATAAGCTGCAGGGTATATCCGATTGCGTACTGTATCCGTTCCGCAGTGTTTTCCGCGATACAACCAAGGTCATATTCTATATCAACACGAACCTCGGAGTCTTCAATCTCAGTGAGCTCTATAGAGAGAGGAAACTTGGAGCCTCCTGTATTATGGCATGGTATATTTTGAATCTCAGCCCCTTCAAGCCTAAATGCCGGTTTCATATCGGAGGCAGTGTGGTACGTTACCATGACTTTGAACAGGGGATCTGAAAGGCTTGGTTTGTATGGTAGGAGTTTGCGGATTTCGCGGTAAGGCAGAACGTGTTCCAGCGCACGTTGGCTACTTTGCTTGACTGCCGTGAGGAAGTGTAGTAGTGATTCGACTTCGTTTGGACCACACTGGATACGAATAGGAAGACGGTCAAGAAACAGCCCTGCCATTGTCTCCGTCCCAGGCTCCATCCGATGTGTGAAAGGAGCCGCAAAAATGATATCATTGCGCCTATCTACACATTGTAGGGCCAAGAACAGAGCTGCAATCACAATTTGATGCATTGTGGTGGAAGATCTTGTAGCAAGACGAGTAAGACTCTGAAGCATGGAACCTGGTAAAGTCCAAGACCTCAAGGAGCCGGTATACGTTAGGCTTCCGGCAGGAGCCCTGCCAAATGTTAGTGGTTCTGGCAACTTGGAAAGGTATTTGGTCCAAAAATTTTGGGACTGAAGACTTAATTGTGGTATTTTAACCCATCCAGCCCAATCGATGTATGTCAGTTCCTTTGGCGTTCTGAAATGTATGTCTGAAGCATTGGGGGTCTGCAATTGCTTGTATCTATCCGAGGCTTGCTCAAGATATGTTGCCATTGTTGTAGCATCTCCTACTACATGCGACATCACTATCAAAAGTATAGCCTTCACAGTGGTGCATGGAATAATGACAACCTCTAATGGCGGCCCTGTGCTCAAATCAAATGATTTTCTAGCAGTTTTGTGAATAAGCGACATTGGGTCATGCGTATTAGTGACTCTGACAATGTTACTCCTGTCTTTGACCAGGTGTCGCATCATGAAACCGTCAGCAACGTGGTACCGAGCCTGGAATATTTCTTCGTTCATAGCTGTTTGCTGGAATGCCCTAGCTAATGATACTGGGTCTATCTGGCCCAGAATCTTACACGCAAAGATCATATTCCCAGCAGTTGAACCATCCGAGATTAGGTGGTTGAGAAATAATTCTTGTTCAAGAGGCGACAGTGGTAACTGGTTCTCCCGTACTAGTGGAGACGTTTCCAGGAAACGTGTTACTCGCTCTTGTTTTTCCTGAGAGTCAATCAACTTCTTGACTGCCAAAGATAGTTCCCGCAGGCTCTGATGATATATAACCTGTCTCAGTGGCATAGGGTGGATGTTGCATTGCTTTGATATTGCCTGCGCTACTCTGATTTGCAGCAAAGAGTGGCCTCCAAGTTCAAAGAATCGAGAATTTGGACTAATAGGCATTTTGCCGAGTTCATGCCCAAGGACATCTGCCCAGATCTCAGCGATGGTCCTTTGAATAGGTGTCTCAAGCTCTACAAGGCTCGCCGTCGGGGCTGTATGGTTTATTAGTTGTTTGAGGGCCAATGCGTTCACCTTGTGGTTTGCAGAGGTTGGGAGCGTAGCAAGGGTTATAATTTGGCTTGGAATGGCGTACTCTGGCAACTGCGATTCCAGCCCCTTTACAAGTTGGTCAATGTCAAGTGTTTCGGGGGTGACAAAGGCAACTAGGGTATCATTTGATACCACTAGAGCTACATCTTTTGCCTCAGTGGCCACCTGGGACAGGGTATTCTGGACTTCCCCAAGGTCTATCCGGAAACCTCGTAGTTTAATCTGGTTATCCTCGCGGCCAACAAAGTTGATGTTGCCATCATCTCCTAGGCGGCCAATGTCACCAGTACGAAACATGGCCTGGTCGGGGTTAAATGGGTCTTGAAGAAATCGCTTAGCTGTTTCCCCCTCATTGGAGAGATATCCAGATGTGATCTGAATTCCAGCTAAGCATATCTCTCCACTCACTCCAATCGGGGCTGGCCGCTGCTTGGAGTCCAAGATGTAACAAGACATCCCCGTTAATGGTCGTCCAATTGATACTTTATCCCCGGGAGATATTGTTGCCACCGTAGCAATAAGTGTACTTTCCGCGGGAGCATACCCGTTTATCAGTGTCCTCCCTGTAGCCCATTTATCAGCGAGGCTTTGGGACAGAACTTCGCCAGCAGCCATGATCACTGCCAGGCTTGGAAAATCGCCTGGCTCTAAGGATGTGAGCAAAGAGGCAGTGGCCATGGTAGCATCGACTCGAGAAAGATGGGCTATCGGATTTGCCGGATCTTTAAGGACTAGAGTTGCTCCGAAGCAAAGAGTAGCAAATACTTCTTTTATACAGCAATCGAAACCGAGTGATAACATCTGTGCGTTTCGCTGTCCAGGAGTAGAACATAGCCTCCCCTTCTCGTGAGAGATCACATTCAGGATACCCTTATGTTTCAAGGGAATGCCTAGGGACAGGTTAGCATCCAGGCTTGAGAAACGTTAGGAAATCTGGCGGTGCATGAATATTTCACCTTTAGGAAACCCAGTGCTGCCTGAAGTGTAGATCAAGCATGCTACATCATCAGCGGTGGGAGTACTCTCCCTACATTTAGTCGTTGTATATGCGATCTCTGCCATGGCTTTGATGATGTTGAAACAAGGGGTGTCATTGATCACCAAGTCTTGTTTGGCATTACAGTGAATTATCAATGATGCACTGCTGTTTTCAACCATGTACTCCATTCTTGCCTGTGGAAGCTTCTGGTCGATCGGACAGTAAACGGCACCGGCTCTGATAACCGCAATCATTGCAATTAACCAGGTAATTGAGCCATCACAGATCACACATACCACATCCCCTAATTTGACAGACTTTCTAAGCTGTTCCGCAATATTTGCTGTTACCCTACCGAATTCATGGTATGATAAGGAGCGTGATAAGCCTTCCACAGCGCATAGGTTTGGGTAGCACTCGATGGCTTTCTCTATTGCATCTGATAGGCTTTCCCCGAGAGAAAGATAATTTGGCGGCAATGCCTTTGCTGTTAATGCCTGGTACTCTGGAGCGCTAAACATCGTACGGGTGACCGTGCTAATATTTGCGGCCGGTAAAGCGTCAACAAGGCCCGTTAGTAGGTTGTCAAAGTGGCGACACATCTGTATAATAGTGGTGTCACTGAAATATGACCGTCGGTATATAAATCGAGCAATAAACCTGCTATCATCACTGTCTAGCAAAACAGTGAGGGGAATTTCAGTCGCTTCGGTATACCTCACGTCTCGAGGTAAAGAGTCTCGGCTGAACATATCCTTCATTTGGGGAAAATCATACTGCAAGGCAAAGATGGTGTCAAATAGCTTTGCAGGGTTATAGCCGCTACCTTCTTGGATCACGGTAAAGGGAGACCACTGATACTGCAAAATCTCGCATAGTGCTCTGAATACTCCCCGCACAAAAACGTATGCCGTCTGGGACTCATTGGCATCTACTTTAAGGGGTAACGTATTTATCAGGGGGCCGATGACATTTTGCACTCCGGGAATTTCCAAATTTCGTCCAGACAGAACAGCGCCCAATATAGTACGATCAGTTCCGGTATATCTTGATATAAGAATACCCCAGGCTGCATAGAGAAGAGTTGCGGGCGTGACAGAATATTGGTCTCTGGCAGCCTTCTCCAACGCAGACACGCTGATTGTAAGATTCTGGGTTAAAGTTGCCTGTTTATAATCGTTGATATCAGACGGAGGCGGCAATCGAAGTGTTTGCACGGGAACGTATCCCTCCGTATACGCTTTCCAAAATGATATTGCCTTGCTCGAATATTTGCGGCGCAACTGATCTATAGACACGGCAACATGTTTAAACTGTGGAGGATCTGGTGGTAACGGTTTATTGTTCAGGTAGAATGCCATTTCTTTTATCAACGTTGACATAGACCACCCATAAATCAGGCTGTGGTGCACAGTCCAGATAAATCGAGTCCGAATGCCTGGTATCGTCACAATGGTTATCTTGGACAAGGAGCACCGCTCCCCAGGATCAAATTTTGAAAATTGGCTGAAGTCAAAATCCTCTTCCTGACGACAGGCAGTGTCCCAGTCTGTTTCTGCAATCGTGCGTTCTGTCCAAGCGATCTTCGCGTCACGGTATATTACCTGGACCTCCGGTTCCGTCAAGACAAAATGCGTCCGCAGAATTCCATGACGTTTATGTATGGACTCCCAGGCGGCACGTAAGGTAGCTGTGAAGTCATCTCTACCTGGATGTTCAAGGGTAAACGATGCCTTTATAAAAGAAAGCCCAGGGGTAGCTATGCTTGCCCGAACCATTCTTGTCTGAATATCAGTCATAGATGCGAGGGCTTCACTCCCAGGGAAGTTGGCCCCGGAAATTGCCTCGCCCAGGCAATGTCCAAACTGTCCTGATGTTGGAGGGGATTTCACGGCATTCTCAGCCTCTTTCAATGCTCCAGCCATTTTGTCAACAATGTCCAGTAATAATATCTGACCAACACTAATAGCAAAACCCGCTTTCCTTAGAATTGAAGCAAGTAAGACTGCTGCAAGGGAATTTCCTCCAAGGTGCCGGAAGGATGAAGCATTGGTGACCTGATCCATTGGCTGCTGGAGAACGTAGGATATGGCTCTGCGGATTGCTTCAGTTCCACTAAGTCTTACTTCCAGAAAGCTATCATCTGTGTCCTGGGAAGCTTCATGAATCTGCACAAGACTCTGCCGGTTGATTTTCCCGTTTACAGTGGTAGGAAACGTGTCCATCGAGTATACGATGTCCGGCACCATAAATGACGGGATGTTGGCTGAGAGATATTCGCGGAGGCCGTCTCTCGCTTCAACTGGAGTAACAAATGCGATGAGCTTGCCATTGGCCATGCAAGCAGCTGCACGGGTTACCTTCTCGAACGATAGCAACGCAGGCTCAACGTCGCTTTCAAGGTTGATCAAAAACCCCCGGTTCTTAGCCATGCTATCCCTACGCCCACAGAACTGTATGCCATTCTTGGTATGTTTCCCATAATCGCCAGTTCGGTACAATTTCTGTCCATTCAGTTTGACGAAGGAGGATGCAGTGCGCTCCGGGTCACGGAAATAACCCAAGGCGAGCCCTGATCCAGAAATACAAATCTCTCCTTCAGATGATTCCAATCCCTCAGCATCCAGCAGACTGACAGTGCTATATGGTATGGGATAGCCAATTGTTATCGGCAATCCAGCCACAAGCTCGCTCATTAACACGGTGCATGTCGTCTCTGTGGGACCATAGGAGTTATACAGTCGCCGCTGGGGGGAGCACCAGGCCTGGATCAAAGGTTCCGCAGGAGCTTCGCCACCAAGGAATATTTTCTCGACTCTGTCAAACCCAGCATCTGGATCCAACGAAGACAGGATGCTTGGAGTTAGTGGCAAGACGTGACAAGTCTTAGCGGCAGCTTCAAGGGTGGGCGGGTCGGCAAGTATGAGGGTTCCTCCATTGCATATCGTGCTAAATACAACTCCTGCGCACACTTTACACAGTTTTGTCAGGTAAGATACTATCTCTCAACACGGCCTTTCGGGAAACATACCATCAAAAGCAATTGAACAAATCAATAATACCCGCGTTCCGTGCCTGGTGTTGAAGTTGAACGGCAGGTCTCCGCCTTCATTCACATACCGAGATATGGATTCCAAGCCGACCATCACCCCTTTTGGTTGCCCTGTCGTTCCAGATGTGAATATGATATATGCAAGGTCGTCTCCGCTATAACATGACCGGAGATAATGGCTCGGGGTGCTGATGTCATTGCCCATAGCCAAGTTGGGTATACCAGGCTCCTCAAAGTAGTGAACCGGATACGGGTGGCCACCCCCTAAGCAACCCGCAGTCGATACAACAATCTGCGGAGAAATCCTTGCAAGCACTCCATTTATGCGGTCCTTACCCCAAGAGTCTGCATCGATGGGCACATATGCAGCGCGCAGCTTGAGGATTGCCAGTACCGCTGCAACCATAGCGATGGACCTGGTGGATATCAGAGGAACTATACAGCCCGGACCCACGCCGGCCACTGCCAGTTGTCTACTCCAGGCATCAGATAGAGCGTCAAGCTCGGCGTAACTGACCTTTGGCCAGGCTGACTCGTCTAGAGACTTCGTTCCATCCTCAATCGCAATTGACGCTGGATGTTGTTGTACCTCTTCGCGAAAGTGGTCAAGGAGATACTCTACCTGCTGTTTCATTTTCGGTATCTCCTATTCAACTCGTTATAAATGCCCTAGTAGTGGTGATTGCTGCGATCCCAAATTATTATCTCTTGGTTTCTATCAACCATCCATGGAGCAAACTGATATTAAGCACTAGTATAGCAGTCAACATAGTCAACCGGGCTATCGCACACTCTTCCTCGCCTTTTTCTTTCTAGCCCTTGTCAGTTAACCGGTAAGTTAAACCATTGCGGCGCCGCAGCCGGCATCTCGGCGGGTATAACTAGGCACCGTAGATATTATAATATCCACCGAAGTCCGTTCGGCTTGGTCCAGAAAGGATTGGGGAAGTCATTGCAGCATACTCTGGCGCAGTATATCTTTCGTTGTTGCTCAACACATGGCGTCTCTGGATATCCATTAGCTATTCAAAATCCAATTCACCCAGACTCGCTTCCCCCGTACAGCGCAACGCCAGTAACTAGTTACGCAATCAGACATGGAAAACGAACTTGAGCACTTGAGCTGGAATATTGAGCATGCTCTACAGCAGCTTGAAGGCCCTCTCTCAGGAGAGCTCAGGTCATTTCATGATATCTCCCCGACATCTCCAGGGACATCCGTTGCGGTGTATCAGAAGCTCCTTGACGTTGTGCAGGCACTAGACAAGCTCCTCCTGATTTTGACTCCTCCCCATATGCTTTTAGTGGATGGGGTGTTTGGTACAGATTCACAACCTCTTCCTCTTGCGGTATAACTGCATTGTACTGATTTGCTGTGCAGCTTTTACCAACAGCAAAGTGTTGCTCTGTGCCTCAGAGTATCACTTGGCCGACCATGTCCAAACGCTCCAGCCATGTAGCATTTCCCAGCTCGCCAGCGCTGCAGGCCTCTATGAACAAGGGCTTTCCCAGATAATCCGCTATCTCCATGAGATGGGTTATTTCCACCGGGACCTCCAGACTGGCAAACTGTCTAACAACCGGCTGTCCAACCTCCTTCGCAAAGATCACTGGGCCACCTGGATCAACTGGGTTGACTTTTTCCCTCGCGAGTATTATGATCTTCTGTCCCATCTGCCCAGCCAACTCAAGAGTGATCAGCCCAAGACGGCGACCGAGCTCTTCTATAACACTGACAAACCCATCTACCAGTTCCTTGCAGACACTGGCAGGGCTGCCGGTTTCCATAAGGTGACAGGTACTGGAAGCGTCGTAGAGGCCCCTGGTCTCCTAGCTGATTACCCCTGGGAGGATGTCAAGAGCGAGACCATTGTCGATATCGGTGCGGGCGCTGGAGACTTTATCCGTACATACCTGGAGAAGTTCCCAGATGCAACAGCGGCAGCATTTGAACTTCCATCGACGGCGGAAATCCTGCGACAGAAGTTCCCACTGGATGACCCGCTTGCAAAACGAGTTGCATCCATCACCGGAGGAGACTTTTTCAAGGATCCATTACCTGAATCCTCTGTATATATACTGCGATGGATCTTGCACAACTGGGGCGACGAGGACTGCGTTAAACTGCTTCGACGGATTCGAGACACAATAACCATAAAAACAGGCATCAGTCGTGTACTAATAGTGGAATCTGTCCTTTTTGATGGCCGTGTGGGGCGAGGAGCCCGGTATGCAGATATCCGGATGCTCGCCCGCTGCAGAAATAAGGAGAGGACACTGGATGAGTACAGAACCATAGTGGAAAATACCGGATGGCGCCTGAACCGGGTAGTCTCTCCCCGGGGGTGTCTGACACAGGTCCTTGAGCTGCGGCCGGTGGGTGCTTGCGCAGTTATACCGCATGGCGACAGCAGCAACGGGAACGGTACAGGTCCTGAATGGGAATCAGAGTTGATGTAGTTAATTGGAAGGGATTAACTAACTAGTTAACCAGTGAGTTAAAGTAGTTAAATGGACCATCAGGTCAAAATTTCATACAGGCCCCACAGGTCTAATTAAATGCAACTCCCTAGCAGTAAGTACTAGTAACTGGTAGGTATCACGCAGAGAGGGGCTGTTGATAGGCCCAATATAGGATTTCAAATAAAGCAAACAGTTATTGACTAGCCACAGTGTTATATACTAAGAGAAACAACATGTACAGACAGTAAACATAATCATTAATATTTACAAATGAAAATCTTCAATTACAGCAAATCGTCAGGGTAAATCCTCCCGTCACAAGATTTTTCAGCAGACATCAACGAGGTCTGCATATTTGGTAAACTCTGCATCGGTTTTGAACATTTCCAATTCCTCCGCATGGGTTCCAAGAACAAGCTCGACGCCTCCATCCTTCTTCATGGGATAGATGGCCAGGAATCGGAAGATGCCATTAGCGCGATCAACCTGTGGCCGCATAGACTCCGGGGATCCTCCGTTGGCAAAGAACTTGCTGCCGAAAGATATCTCACTTGTGGGGAAGAGCATCATATTGGATATCATGGCGTGCATGTGTTCAAGGCCCATATTCGCAGTTGAGAATCGGCTGTGGTCTGGAAGAGACTGCAAGATTGTGAAGGCATCGTGCACGAGCGATGGTGTAATGCGTGCTGTAGACTGGCGGAGCATGTATGCGACATACCCGATACTTGTGTCAGGAGAGCAAAGGGTTTCCACAGGAATACTGCAGCGGTTCATAATGAGGACACTTCCCATATATGTAGATGGCAGGCGGGTAGAGAAGTATGGACGACCATCCGTTGGTAATTCGAGAATCGACATCTCATCCGGGCCAAAAGTTTGTCTTCGGATCTCCTTGGCCACGCGGTATCGTGCTCTGATGGCAGTACGCCAGAAGAATGCCTGCACTATGTCGCTGATAGATGTAATCACACCCTTTGCTTCTGGGTCTGCAATTACATCCTGCTTCATTTTCTCGAGCTTCTCGGGAGTGATCAGGAATGAAGTGGTCTTCATACATCTTTCAGCACGAGGGAGAGGCCACACGTTATGTAGAGGGAATACGGGACGAGGACCGAGGGGAGATTCATGGTTGGTTGGGCTGTCATCCGGGGGAAAGAATGGTAAGAAACCCCAAGTACCAGGGTCTACTTCGTCAACTGCGCGAGTCCATCCTTCTTGTTCGTGAAGTATCTCGGGCAGACTATGATTGAAGCTCTCTGAGTCATACCAGCTACATGTCGCAGTTTTGTCGCCCTGGAGGAATCGACAGTTTTCAGCCCAGACCTTCAGAGCAATCATAGCACCAAGCCCATCTAAACAGCAGTGGTTCAAGTCAACAGCAACAATGCAACCTCCTTCAACGAAGTTGACTTGTCCAGCAAAAATATCCGCGGGTATTTTAGTGATCGGATCATCACGTAAAACAAGGCTATCTTTGAAGAGTGATGGGGCAAAATCAGCCTGTCGCAGTTTATCGAACGAAGGAAGAATACTCGAAAGGTCCTTGTATACAAGACGATTTCCAGCGGCAGCTGCCATGGATAGTGGAGGAATCGTCACGCAAAGGTCCCCCTTCTTATAGCCAATCTCCTGCTCCGAACAATGCATAATCTTGCCACTCAGAGCTGGGATCAAGTCGAATGTGCGATTGAGACCCTCTTGCAAATTGTTGAACACTTCCTGGTAGCTGACCCCATCTCGGAGAGAGAAATAAAAGACAAGCCCCATGTTATGATTTGGGTTGACATAGTCCAATGCATTCAGCTTGAAAGATTGTCTTGACTGGTGCTGAGCAATCATTCTCCTTAGTTTCGCTGTTTCATCGTCCATCGGCAGGCTCAAAGGGCCAGCCTTGCTGGCAGCCTTTGCTTTTGCTTCTTCAGCTAACTGAGCAATAGTTTTGGACAGACTAGCAAGTGTAGGGTTAGCATACACGTGCCTGGGTGCAATACTTTCACCCAAGCCAGTCGCCATTCGAATTTTCTTGATGGCCGCAAAAACACCAAGAGAATCAAGGCCAAGCTCGAATAGATCTGTGTCCACAGGAGCCTGTTGTATTTCTTGTACTGAAGACGCCAAGATCTCACGAACTCCATTCTCGATTGCATCAGTTGACTCCATGTTAATGGGGAATACAGCATCCATTTCATCGGGGTCATCACTTAAGGAACTGTAAAATCTGTCAATGTAGTTGTTATACAGAGCCAAGGTTGCTGCCCGCTTCACTGTTCCCTTATCGGTGTAGATAAACGGTTTGTCGGGCTTTGTGAATGTTACAAAGTCTTTAAGCAGCTGGTCCTTGTGGCGAGACATCGAATTAGCCTTCTTCACTGTCTCCCAGATGCTATCCAATAGTTCGTCCGACTTCTGAGATGGATCTTTTAGGTCAATGAGAAGACCTGCCTGTGGCTTTCCAGTTCCGAAAAGAATGCACCCTTTGATTGCAGGATGGGTTGAAACCAGTGATTCAGTTTCAAGTGGAGTTATCTTGTATCCATTGGATAGAACCACGAGGTCATCACTTCTGCCCTTGAAAGCCCACAGGTTGGGCTTGGAAGGGTGCTTCATATATAAGTCTTTGAAATTGATTGACTCTTTTTCCGGGAAGGTATGATAGATACCTTGGAAGAGAGGCCAGTGTTCGTTGCGATGTATCCAATGTTCATAAGTATCCTCCCCAATCTCCTTGAACTCGAACCCCGAGTAGGGGTGGAAGCAGAACCAAAACCAATCTTCCCTTGGAGTAACAAGATTGCCAATAAAGAGGCCTTCAGTCGTTCCGGTCAAATTCAGAACCCTCACAACATCATTAACCTTACCAGCACTAATTGGGTTAACAGGGCCACCGGATGCGCAAATGAACTTCGATGACTTGAGTTTTGCGAGTACCTCTGGTGTTTCTCCAAGTTCATTAGCAAGAGAGGGGACCATGCTCCAGATATCAATTTGGACATTATCAGCAAGAGTCTCGACAAGTCGAATGTTTGGAAGCGCTCCAGCTAGACCTAAAACGCAGTGCAAGTTGAAAAATGCAGGCATAAGGATATTCATAATAATTCCAGCCCCCTTTAGAGTTCGTTAGCCAGTCATGTCTTCGCCTCCAAGGACAAGCATATTTTTTTTTTTAGAAAGGAGTATACATACGTGGCACATTGGGAACGATGAGTAGATTGTATCTCCATCCAACCAGTCAGAAGTCCAGGGAAGCAATCCATCAAACCCTGGAGCTGGGGGTAGCAATCGGACTGCGTCCATGGTACCGATGAGACCATGGGACCATGGAATCGGTTTTGGCACCCCCGTACTACCTGACGTATGGAGGTAGCAGAATGGCTCATTGATAACCTCCTCAAAGTTCTTTGAGAAAGGGAAAGCCTCGGTGGACCCAGCATCAAGTAGCTCTTCCAGTAGAGGCAGCTGCAATAACTTCATGGGACGATCTCGTAATATTTCTTCAACAAGCGGCTCAGGGGCTACCTCACTGGCACTGACCCAGATATTGCAATTTGTTGTCTCGAGGACAGAGACCGCTCCCACAGTACTATTTTTGGGGGAAAGAAAAAGAGCCTGTACAATAAGAATGAGCATAACGAGAGACCTTGGTTTGCAGAGTTAAGAGGGTATAAGGCAAAACTATGCACTTACAGCGTAGCCAGCTTTGACGCAGGCGTAAGTCAAGAGAACGTGTCGCAGGTCATCTGGACGAAGGGTGTTAGTTCAGTTATATAAGTATCAAATTGCACTGGCAGTTGAGTTTGACTTACGTGGACCAATGTAACCAACAGGTTGTACCGAGTCAGGTATTCCAACTTGGTTCCGAAGCCACCAGGCGGTTTTGTCAACAGCCTTATTGAACGCACAGGCGGTTATTTCCCTAAATACTAGATCATTGCCAGAAAGAGACGCCAACGAGAATACAACTCTTTCAGGCTGGGAAACTGCCAGTTCGTCCATGATCTGCGGGATCAGCCGCTTGCCATAAGGGACAGATGGTAGCACATTCGATTTTTTCGGCACATTATGATTATTCATATCGTTGCCTAGCACAACCCCAAGACCGCTTTTGTGTAAGGTGGGAGGGGACTCAGATTCAGGGGTAGTGCCGCCACTGCTTCGAACGGTTGTGCGAGGTGGAGATGCCGAAAAAGAGCTAGGCGAGGCAGTGCCCGGAGTTGATGCACCGCTAAGATATCCAGTAGCATTCACAGGTCGAGCTGCTTGAAGATAACTGGCAGTTGACTCAGTAATGGCTGAAACACCATTCTCACGAAGCTTCTCTCTATAATGGCTGGGGCGACCATCAACGTATACAACCTCTAGCCTGCTGTCTTTGGCAAATTCACCCATTGGAGCGCTAACCCATTCACCATCAGCTAATTGGGCAACGGCGCAATGCCACGGCGTTGTAAACCCAGTTTTGGTATTCAACAAGCATACAGAGACTTTGTTCAAACCAACCGACTCATGAATGGAGAGTCGTAAATAGTTGGGGAACGCGTTCTTGACTGCACCAGCAAAAGCCTATTGGTAAATGATAGACGTTAGCGGATTGATGGTAATAAGTAGTCGCAACATTCACTTGGGACCGCTTACATAACCTCGCATGAGCATCTGCTTGGCCAGGTATTTGCAGTCCCTCTTGTAGCTATGAGCGCTGCGGCCGACGCCACGAGGGAAGATGTGCTTCAGATCAGACTCTAAGAACCTCTTGTACCCAAGATAGGTGAGCTTTGTATCAGGGTTTGCCGTAATTTCCTGGTCGATGTCAAGATCATCCCTGCCATATCGATTTATGAGCAGACGGCGAAAGGTGGTGCAGTTCGCAACATATGTAATTTCAGTGAGCTTTTCAGGGAGGGGGAAGTCTAGCAAATCCTTCATTCTGGAGAACTGGATATAAATAAACTTCTTGTCAATCGCCATCTTGCGTAGAGCCTCCCCATAGGCCCAGGTGTCTTGGTCAGATATTGAGAGAAGATCTAGCAACAGGGCCAAGTTGATGCGCGTTAGCAATCTTCAGCATTCTTGGTATTTTGAGGGACAATCCAATATGACATACCGTTATATGTGATACCGTCCGAAATGATGGTAACTTGGGCACCCGGTGGGTATATATCCCGTATACGTGCACACATGGTATTTAGCCGTTCAAGGGCCAATTGCTCGGCCATGTCAGGCAGAGTTCCCAGTACTTTGTACACTTTGTTTGCGGACTTGAAAGGGAACGCAGGGAGACATGAGTCCACACGCTTTCTCTCAGCCACGAAACGGTCAATTACGTCTAGGAAATGGTCAGCACCCGCTTCCAGTCTATCCTTGGAGTCATCGAATTTGTTCAGGGCGTATTCGAATATGATATCTAGGATGAGTCGAGATGTCTTTCTTATGTCGTCAGTGTTGGTTTTAAGGGAGTTGGTCGACATTTTATCGTCGACTGCGTAAACGCTATTTGAGGCCGCTACCTCAGGTTCTGCTTTATGAGGCATGATGAAGAATTTCGTGGATTAATTAAGATAAATAAAAACCTGCCACAGTCAGGAGAGAAAAGCCTCTTTGAGATCGGAATGCATCAAAGCACGTTCGGCTGAGGGAGCGAAGATGATATGCTGGATATTAGGGTAATGTCAACCACAAGGCAGAGGGAGACTCGTCCGAATATATACCCATCCACGTGAATCACCTAGAGCTTGACCGTGCTGCGCAGAAACAATCAATGGAAGGAGCAGCTCGTTTCTTGATACAAGCTTCAACACGATCCTGGAGCCTTGTTGAAGCGAGCCAAGTTACGGTATGCCGTGTAAAAGAAAAAACGAAGAGTGAAAACAAAAATAGGAAGGAAGGATGGCGGGCCTTTCCACGCAGTTGATGAGTGACGTGGGAGGGGCCAATATCTCCGGAATGGCCCAAAGGTGTGATTGCATGGTTGCCAATTCACCCCCAACCTTCGGTCCCATGAGATCATATTTGTTGCAATTGATTGGGTACAGCCAGACAATGGGAAGGATTGACAATTTTCTGGCTCTCTGAAGCAAATACATGGACTTCAGGTGTAGCATTAAGAATAGCCAGTTCGTATGGATCCTTGCACCCTCGCGCTAAGAATCACAATCCCTGACCAAATGCAGAATTTCATCCGTCACTTGGCAGCTTTCGATGACAAGAGCCAAGCAAAGCTCAGTCAACACGGAGTTGGCTTTGCGGTTGAGCTGGTGGGAAAATAAAAAAAAAAAAAAAAAAAAAAAAAAAAAAAAAAAAAAAAAAAAAACTCAAAAAAAGCAAAGAGAAAAAGAAAAAAGAAAGAAAACGAGCGACCTCCACACTGAAAAAAGTGTCAGATATTTGTAACTTTGGGCTTTGGGGGCTGATCTGCAAAAACACACACTGTTGTTTTTCCGTTGGATCCTCTGGCCCACGCTCTCTCCTCTGCTTGGCATGACAAAGGAGGCCACCACTCCCACAAAAACCCTGAGCTCTCACCACGAGAAAGAAGCGAGATCGATCTGCAAAGGGGAGGGGATTTGATTCGTATAACCTAGCATAGGACTAATCTCCTCATCTGGTTAGAGTGGCAGTTTGAAGAGCTCTGTCCCAGGGGGGAACGGTCGCCCACCACACAAATAATGGGGTGATGAGCCTGACGGGTTTCGAGATTGATCCTTCAGCCAACCGCCCCATCAGCCTGCGTCTCGGAGGATTTCCAATGCCATGGAAACACAGCAGTTATCCGTTTGCTTGGAGACGACGATCGGGTAGCTTGTGACTGCGATGAAGTCGAGTTGAAGTGGAAAGCAACAAAAGCCTTCTCGAGTTTTGGCCATTTTTAACTTTTTGATGTCGAAAGAAGCCGCGGCCCGAGCCGACATCACATGACCACAATATTATAAATCACGGTATGATTGGCTCTTGGCGATTTCGTGGGACGGTCTGTGTCTGTTCCCAATATAAAAAAGGAGACGAGAAGCTTCAAATGAACATGCAAGAGTACTTTTGGCAGCCGAGTCCAAGATCATGCAGGAAGACGAGTGACCACTGGTTGTACCGATGTTCTCGAATGCGAAGGGCAGGCGAAAGGCTGACAGCACCTTGCATTCACGTAGGCGAGACCATGCAAGCTTGTTTATGGTTCTGCCGTTTTCTTTTCCCTGCCGAAGCCTTGTTATCAAACTCTGATATAGCTAGCTAGTCTGTTTTCTTCCGTTAGGGGAAACGAACTAGTGTGACAAACCCGACTACGGTTGGTTCACCCATCGGTTAGGAAGATTTGTGTGCTGAGTCAAGAAAAGCTTCAAATGCATCCTTCGGGTGGATGTGCTCAACGTGTCTGCGGCCACTTAGAGCCAAGGAGGATGCTATGCTCCACGTATGCCTATGCCAGCTTGCATACCATTTCCGGTATTAGGAAAGTGAGTTGAAAAACTAGAGATCGAAGTCCTAGGGGCGGGAACATGTAACACCGATTTTCCGTGCCTATCCCCTTTCACGCCAGTTCCGATGAAAAGTAAGGAGTACATAATCAATATCAGAGAACTACTAGTCATGATGTAATATTGACCTTGGCCCTAAAAAGGTTAGCCCCTGCTCTCGCCCTCTTCCCATGCTGGAAAATTTAAACATGCGGTACCCTGCTCTCGACCTTTTGCCTCAATGACCTATTTATAGCGGAAGCAAGGGATTGCAGAGTGGAAGCCCCCGGCCATAAAACGGGATACCGACAAGGGACCTGCTCCTTCTGGACTGAAGGTCTGCAGGCGGCCTTGCTGATCTTTCTATACCACACGTATTCTTCGAACGCGGCGGCCCTACTGAAAAACCGCAAGATACCAGCCGAATTTGGGCCCTCATTTCCTGGCCCCAACTTATCTTTATCTTTTACCGAAACTAGAGGAGGAAACTCACCACGCGCTGTCCCCTTTATTCATTGTTTCTTTCCCGTCCTCTAACCTCGTTTTCAGATTGGGGGGTTTCTGCAACAGCTGCTAAATGGTGTTATCCTCCCCTTTGTCCAAACATGGGACTACAAGATATTCCCCAGCCCAGCCATGGCACGTCAGATAGCGAAGAGCGCATGAATCTCTTGAATAATGATACATATACCAATATTGATGGCGATGACCCTCTTCCCGATGTCAATGATTATGCTGAGACCACCCCTCAGGCACCCCAAGTCCAGCCTGGAGTACAGAGCATTGAGGCTGTGACTGTAGCATGGACTAGCGGTGCGCTAATCTTTGCATACGTGATGATCTGGCTCACATACTTTGTCGAAGGGATGTTACTTGCTACCACGAGTGTCCTAACTCCCTATGTAACCTCCGCTTTTGCCTTACACTCCTTGACACCAACCGTCGGGATTCTCAGCAGCGTCATAGGGGGTGTCACTAATCTTACCTTGGCCAAGGTCCTAGACGTGTTTGGCCGCCCTCAGGGGTACCTCTTCTGCATTATATTTGCTACGGCAGGGCTTGTCATGATGGCAATGTGCAGCAATGTCCAGGCATATGCCTCCGCACAAGTCTTTCAGACAGTGGGAAATAATGGAATACTCTATAGCCTAACAGTGTTCGTAGCCGACACTTCCTCGTTACGCAACCGTGGTCTGATGCAAGCAATTGTCAGCTCGCCAAATCTTATTACATGTTGGTTGGCTGGTCCGATATCTTCCAGCTTCCTCGCTGGTCCCGGTTGGAGATGGGCTTTCGGCATGTTTGCCATACTTGTGCCGCTGATTACTCTTCCCCTCTTCCAGCTCCTGTTGATCAACTACCTAAAAGCCAAGAAGATGGGTCTGGTCTCGCAAAGTGACGGGAGTAACAGGGATCACCAAACCTTGCTCCAGTCGCTTGTCTACTACTCCAAGCAGTTCGATGCCATTGGAATTATCCTCCTGTCTACTGGGGTTGCCCTTTTCTTACTACCATTCAATCTCTATTCACTTCAAGGCTGGGGCTCGCCTCTAGTGGTTTCGATGTTACTTGCTGGGGGGATACTGATTGTTAGTTTCGTCGTGTGGGAGCGGCTTTATGCTCCCATGACGTTTCTCCCTTACGCTCTCTTACTAGACCGAACAGTGCTAGGCTCCTGCATTCTCTCAGCTACGTTATTCGTGAGCTTCTGGTGCTGGAATAGCTTCTTTAGTTCCTATCTGCAGGTTGTTAATAACCTCAGTGTCGAGAATGCGAGCTATGTTGTGCAGACGTACACTGTATGCTCAGTTTTATCTGCCATTGCGGTCGGTAGCATGATCCATCACACGGGACGTTTCAAACCAGTGTGCCTTTACATTGGGATTCCGCTCAGCGTGTTGGGGTCCGGGTTGATGATATACTACTGCAAGATCGACAGCAGCGTTGGCTACATAATCATGTGCCAAATCTTCATTTCCATAGCTGCTGGCACGATTATGATCTGTGACGAGGTTGCAATTCTAGCAGCTGCGTCACATCAACACGTTGCTGTTTGTATCGCCGTGTTAGGAATGTTTGGAAATGTTGGCGGTGCGGTGGGCCTAACAGTGGCTTCTGCTATCTGGCAGAGTGTTTTCCCCCGGAAGCTGGCAGAGTATCTTCCGACCCAGGAGCTTTCCAGGCTGCCTGAGATCTACCAAAATCTTTCAACACAGCTGTCGTATCCTGTTGGGTCTGCCACACGCCTCGCTATTCAGCATGCATACCGTGACGCTCAGATAAGCATGCTGGTCGTTAGCACCGCAGTTTGGGTTGTCGGGTTCTTCTCCGTTCTGGTCTGGAGGGACATCAACGTAATCGGAGTTAAACAAAACAAGGGGCATGTGTGGTAACTCACTAGTTAGTTAGTTGGTTGGCAAGTTAACTACATAGCAGGCTCCATCATGCAGTGGGCTTTCTCCCCAAATGCCGTGTGGGAGTGGGTGGGTACGGAGCAGGCAGTGTTTTGTTCCATCAGTTAACTAACTACCTGCTAACAACCTCTTGGTTATACGGAGCTGGAGCCACTTCGTCTTTTTTTAATTTGCAGGATGGAGCACAGTAACTAGTTACTTAGTCCGCTGAAGCTATCCTCTTATTCAGGAGGATGAAAAAAAACAGCCTGTCCACTCCATCAACTAGTCGACTATTGAATCTGGTCAACTTGGCTCGGACGGTGATGACAGCCTCCTGACACTGTCTCCATCCAACCGCACCGATAATCGTCCCTACATCCCCCCCAAGCCGTCAAGGTCAGGACTTCTTGACAGCCTCCCATGTTAATTTAAACGAGTGAACGAGTGATCGACTAGTCAGACCGCGCGAGGCTTGTTTTCTAGATCTTTCGTATTTCGAGTTTGCCTCGCGAAGCCAAATCTTATTATCGTCGTCAAGGACTATTATTACCGGATGATTGCATAGCATTTCATATATACAGGGAGCTGACTCTAGTTTACGGGCTGCACCTCTGTGATAATAACGTCCCTTGGGTGGTTTTCTACTCGTTTTTCTTATTTTAGATCCCTCCTCGTCTCCATATTTTTTCCTTTAACTAGTCCAACTCATCAACTCGTTAATTTTCCCCAGGCAGAGTTTTTTTCTTAGCCTAAGCGACAACATCATCCGGGACAAATCAAAGAGACGGTTCATGTACCCTACATCCCAGCGCACGGGAAGAGAATGGCGAACCTAGCCCTCCCAGGCCATCTTGAAAATGACTGATACCCGCCAGCCCGAAACCCGCTGCCTAGCTTGTCACATCCGCCAGCGAAGGAAGAAAGCCAAGCTCAGCCGGCGCTTGAGCTATGCGTCTGAAGAATCCTTCCAGCCCTGAATTTTCGCTGGTTACGGATGATTGAGAGGCATGGTGCCTCAGGCCCGGCCATGCTTCTCTTCTTTCGCCTTGTTTCGTTTCTTTTCCCTTGGATACGGAACACTCTTGACAGATCATCCCTGAATCCCGCATCGGTGTCTGGCCAGGGGGCCAGACAGGCATACATACGCTTCGGATGCCGGAGAGATTTGGCCACGGCGTGTACTTTATACGACTGTGGGGGCCATCAGGAATATTAATATACCAAGAATAGGCACACAAGCAGATACTTCCCACACCTTGCGTCCCCTCCTCTCGCTGGCTGAGCATCCCGATACGGAAGGACAGTCTTCGTGTCAAGCTGAAGGCGACGGCGGACTACAGCCGGGAACATCTGGCTGATCTTCACCGCGTTGGTGTCCTTCTTTGGCTGGCCGTCTCAATACGAGGATTCCCTGGGGGTTCCTCCTGCTGCGGACATATGTATATATGAGGTCTACACCCACCCTCCTGACAGAAATGTGAATCTGGAGTGAACGAGGCCGTGTGTAACCATCCTGATCCTATATTTGTGCAGAAGAAATGTCACAGTCAATCAGCTCTTGTGGAGGGCAGCAGCTCAAGGCAGCCGGATCACCAGCTTGCCTTGCGGGCGAGAAAATCGTTCTCCCGTTTGTCCGCACTCTCTCGTTCTCCCTCTGTCCTTTTTTTTTTTTTTTTTTAATACCTGCTTATTGATCAACAAGCTGCGATGCTACCTAATGCCAGTTTTACGATGAGGGCTTCGTGACCGGACGACGCCCGAGTAGTATTAGCAAGCGGTCTTCCCGTGCCATCTATGGAATTGCTGGACATCTGAGACAGCATCCTGTGATCGATTTACGGAGCCAACGCTGCCATGCTTGAGGCTAAAGAGGAGCACCTGCATGCAATGCTCCAGCAGTCCCCAGTTTTCTCGCCTGGACAGGTCTTTCTGCGGGTGATAAAAGGGCTGAAGCTCCAAGGCAGGGCCGTAGCCAGCTGGCTCCCGTTGGCTCTCTGAAAATAAGGAAGATCGGACGCAACAGGCCTCAGACGTTTCCAGGCCCTACTTTTACTTCCGGCTACCTCGGCACAACCTCCAGCTCGCTAATAATAATATCATAATAATAGGAGTACGGAGTAATAGCAGTAGTAATGAGTGATCTGATCATCTTGAAATCGCGCGCCCGTTACGCCCCTGCATGCAGACTCGCGACACCGCAACTTTACGCAACAAACTAACTAGTCAAGGCTGCTAGTGAGCAGTAAACTCTCCAATATATCTAGAAAACTCTTGTTAAAATCGCTCGAACTAGCTATGGAATCGCCCAACGCCGTAGTTAGCGCAAGCTTGCTGTCCCTGGAGCCTGTTCTCCTGGCAAGCGACAATCAATTAAGCTCTCTCTGAGAGCCTCGCAGCAGTATAAATATGAGCCCCCTTTTTTCTCCCTTTCCGTCCGGCATCTTCCCCAGACGACCTCCACAGCATCCGCTGCCTCTGGTCTTTCCTGCTGCTGTTACTCCGTACTGCTGGACAACTAGTTAGCCATGCACTGAGAGTCAGGCCGGTTGGTATGCCTTTCGAACCGCCGAGCGAAGAAGCCCTCCATGTGATGATTCCACACGGCTGGCAGCGCTCAGCCCAGAGACACCGACAAGACACAGGACGATCTGAGCAGACTTGAGCAGGTTTATCACTCTTTGTCTGTCTGTTTCGCGATTGCAAATAAGCCATAACCATCAACGGAGTAACTAGTTAAGTCTTTACAAAATCTGACGGGTTGTCCGTCCTGTTGAATTGATGGAGCCCGCCCCCCCCGGAAACCCCAAGACGCCCCAAACCACGAACATCCCAGCAACCCCAAGACGGAGACGGAGCTAGCGAAGCAAAAACCCGCCAGAGCGCTTGAAACAAGTCGATCCAGCAAGGAACTGAGGTGAATCGAGCTAATTATCATTGGCAGCTCGCGTGTTCATGCAAGCGACGCAGACGCAGGAGCAAAAACGGCTGCAATGCAAAGATCAATACAGGAGCAGAAGAAGAAAAGAAAAGCCAAAGAAAACGAGAATCCCAGGCGGGTTTTTTGAGCTGATTAACTATTATTTGCTCATTCATCGTCCGGCTTGCCTGTCTGCCTGTACGCCGGGCCCTGCGTCAGCCCGGGATGGGGGATGGGGGATAGGGGGGGCATCGATTGCTCTGCTAGGGGGAGACGGGTCGAGAATAAAAAGTGCTGCGGGAACCATCCACCAGGGGACCGCCAGGCTTTCCAGTCAAAGCAGACGAGGAGTTCAAGAGTAGAGACTTCATGGCGACGGCAGGAGAGGCCAAATACCCGGCAGAGTCGCCGCCAGCGACACCAGCGCCGGCACCAGCAACCGCCGCGGACGACGAGAAGCAGCCGGCGGCCATGGCTGTCGACAGCAAGGGAGCCGACGCAGAGGCACCGCAGGCCGGAGTGCAGCAGGTCGAGGCCATCGCGACGGTCTGGTCGATGACCTCGCTCGTCCTGACGTACGCCTTCATCTGGATCGTCTACTTCATCATGCAGATGGAGATGGGCGTCGTCGCGGCGCTGACCCCCTTCGTCACCTCTGCCTTCCAGCACCACTCGCTCACGCCGACTGTGGGCATCCTCAGCAGCGTCATCGGCGGCGTATGCAACCTGACAGTCGCAAAGATCCTCGATGTCTTCGGGCGGCCTCAGGGGTACGGCATGTCGCTGGCCATTGCAACCGCCGGCCTTGTCATGATGGCGGCCACCGCCAACGTCGAGACCTATGCCGCCGCGCAGGTGTTTTGGACCGTCGGCAGTAACGCCTTGCTCTACAGCATCAATATCTTCGTCGCCGATACGACCAGCATGCGGAACCGTGGCCTGATGACCGCCCTCGCGGCCTCGCCCAACATCATTACCATCTGGCTGAGCGGGCCCATCTCAGAGGGCTTCCTGAAAGGGCCCGGCTGGCCCTGGTGCTTCGGGGCCTTCTCGATCATCGTGCCCGTCCTCTGTCTGCCGCTGCTGGGCGTCGTCTTGCACAACTACTTCAAGGCAAAGCGGCAGGGCGTCATCGCCTTGTCCACCAGCCGCAGGACCCCCTGGCAGTCCTTCCTCTACTACTGCCGTGAGTTCGATGCCATCGGCCTTCTGCTCCTCACGGCCGGACTCACGCTCTTTCTGCTGCCCTTCAATTTGTACGCTCTGCAGCCGCTGGGCTGGCGCTCGCCCTTGGTCATCTGTCTGCTCGTCTTCGGCCTGGCGCTGATGGTTCTCTTCGCGCTGTGGGAGAGGTACTTTGCTCCGGTCAATTTCATCCCCTTTTCCCTGCTGCTTGATCGCAACCTGGTCGGCGCATGTCTGCTGGGGACAGTCCTCTTCATCAGCTTCTTCTGCTGGAATAGCTTCTTCAGCTCCTTTCTCCAGGTCGTCAACGGTCTCAGCGTCACCAACGCCAGCTACGTCGTCCAAATCTATAGTCTCGGCAACACAATCGCTGGAATCGCTGCGGGTGTTGTGATCCGCTATACAGGGCGCTACAAGGCGATCACACTCTACGGAGCCATCCCAATATACACCCTCTTCATGGGCTTGATGATCTACTTCCGTGATCCAGAGGCTAATATCGGTTATATCGTCATGTGTCAGATCTTCATCGCCTTTGCCGGCGGAGTGCTCATCATCACCCCTCAGATCGCCGCCATGTCTGCCGGAAACCACCAGCAGATCGCCGCCATCCTTGCAATCTTATCTATGTTCTCGGCCATCGGCGGAGCTATCGGTCTTACAGTTGCCGGCGCAATCTGGCAGTCCGTCTTTCCAGCAAAACTCCTCGAATACCTCCCCGTCGAGGAACAGGCCAATCTTCTTGAAATCTTCGGCAAGCTGGAAGTCCAGCTCAGCTATCCCATCGGCTCCCCGGCTAGAATCGCCATCCAACGCGCCTATGCAAGTGCGCAAACAAGTATGCTCACGGCCGGTACTGCTATATGGGCTGTCGGATTTGCTGCCGCCGCTATTT